CCCCCCCCCCCCCCCCACCCCCCATCTCTCTGATCTGCTACAACCGTATGTCCCACCACATTCCCTGAGGTCAGCGGACCAGTTGTTCCTCACAGTTCCAGGAACTCGTCTTAAGTGCAGAGGTGACAGGGCCTTCTCTGTAGCAGGACCAAGACTTTGGAACGAGTTACCTCTGTTTGTCAGACAGGCCCCCTCCCTCTCGGTTTTCAAGTCCCGTTTAAAAACCCACTACTATTGAGTAGCTTTCAACACCAGATGATATGTGTTTTGAACCTGTATGCTCAACACTGGTTTGTCGTCATTATCTGCATCGTTTTTATGTCTTTATTCTGATTTACCTCATTTTGTATTTTGCTTTGTGTGTTACCTGTTGTTTTGTCTGTACAGCACTTTGGTTGGCCTTGTAGCTGTTTTAAGTGCTCTATAAATAAAGTGGTATGGTATGGTACTAGTTTTAAATCGAAATAAACACTACACTTAGATTTTGAACACCATTTGACAGTTTCTAACCAGTGCACACTTTAAAAGGGAAAAAGACAAAGATCAATCTCCTAAAACACTATGAACTTTGTTGAATTTTTTTTTAATTAGTATTTGTTTGTAGGGATAGGCAAAGTTAATGACAAAGTCATTAAAAAAGAAAGAAGAGTACAGTTACAATAGTGTGTTTTGGAAACACAAAGCATTCCCAAACAATTGTGAAACCAAGACGCACTGATTGTTCTCTGGACTTTTAATGGGCCCCTACCAGGAAAAATAATTCTTAATATTTCACATAACAAAACACAAGTCACTGTTGCCTATTCTCAGTTGGCTCATTGTGCCAAGCAAATATTAGGAACGCAACATTTTGCTGTTCCTGAAATGACCATTTTATTCTTAACATTGCTAAAACTGAAACTAAACTTTATCACCTAAGTTATGCTAATATTTATTGCTGAACTGTTCATTTAGGTTTTATTAAATTTAAGTGATTTTGGTTATGTCAAATGCATTTGGCTGAACAAGTCAAGTAATTAATAAAGCTAAAGTTTTACAGGGAGCAAAAATACAGAACAACAATGCCCACTACCCTCAAAACGTTTGTAAAGCATTGCAAAGAAGAGCATCTTGATAACGGAGCCAACAGAATGCAAAACTACTTTATGAAAACAAAATCAAGTGTATTTAGACCTCCAAGCCTAAATAATAAAGCTAATATGTTTGTTGCACTCACCAACGCAGAGGATGTTGAAGCAGAAGCCACGGTTGACAGACTTGTTGACCAACTGGTCAGGCATACTGTCAAATCCAACATGGCCCGCCAGAGGCACAGCACGGACTCCTTCACCCTAAAAGCACAAGAATTGACCACAATGAATCAGTTAAAAAAAACAACTTTGCATTAAAAAAATCTCGGTGAAATACTATGCACTTATAGCTGAGAAAAGGTTCACAATGTTTAAAGAATAAAAAAAATCTCATTGTATTGTTCTTTTCAGACAAACATCTCATTACCGTCATCTATGATACGATTGTTAGAGAATGAGCATGACTTCAGGTGCAGTCTAATTCACTTCCTGTTTTCTGAGCAGCAGCTCTCTTCCGTCACTCGAGACAGTTTGAAACCACAGTGTACATATATGGAAAGATAAGACTGTTCATGTCACAATAATTGTAATCACAAAAAAAAACCCTAAAAATAAACGTTAAATAAAAAGTATTTTAATGAAATTACAGCTACAAAGAAGAGGCAAAAAGCAAAACGTTCAGAGTATGGACTGAAATCTTTCACTAACATGAACTTCTCATTTTATGTTGACAGTTCCTTCATTTATTCTACTGTCACACTAAAAGCAAGAGTACGGTAAATGCACCGTTGAATGTGTGTGGGGGTGTGAAGCTGGTAGCAAGCATCTTGATCTGTGAGATTCTGGTTTCTGCTGCTTGAATTTATATTAAGAGCTGCAGGAAAGCAAAGAATGCACATTAGATGCCAGAAGCATAAGCTCTTCACCAGCTAAACCTCAGACAAACTGGCCATTATGTGGCTTAACATAACACAGTGTGGTTGTCCAATTTGGTGAAGACTTTGAGGGTAAAAATACGCTGAGGATCAATTTAAAACAGCCGAGCAAGCTGGTGTTGCTGGTCAGTTGGGGATTATTTGGACGGTTGAAAGGAAGTTTGAACAGCTGTAAGCCTGGGTGGGCAATGCATATCAACAAACTGCCTTTATAATGCTCAGCATTCCTAAAATCATCCCCTCTCTTCATGACTCAAAGCCAAGTAGCACACAGCCGGTTCTATTCATTGGGCCACAAAGGGACATCAAACTGCACAACCTTGCTATTCCAAGCACTCCATCTGGGTTAAGTGGCTTCCTTTTTCTACTTAAGCAAGCAAGACAAACAAGTGTTTTATGTCCCTAGTCTGTAGCCACCGTGTGGAATCCGTATTGTCCACATTTTTCATATAATTTAGACAACGCCCGTGTGAAAGTTCAGGAGACTTGAGTGAAACCACAACGGAAATGAGTACCGAAGCTGTAGTGCTGAAGAGGGGTTTTTTTCAGAATGAATGGCCTGCCGAGGTGTAGGTTCGCGTCCTATTACCAAACATACTTTGCTACGTTTAATTCAAGGCGTTTAAAGGCGCCATTTCGTTAGCAGTTTTATTTAAGCTAACGATTTTAGCACAAGGAAATCAAAGGCGCCGCATTATTCATGGCAAGTAATTGTCTCTGGAATGGAAATATTGCGCCGTAAATAGCTACAGCGGTATTGTTCCTTCATTTAAAAATCACATATTTAATATTGATGTGAAATTCACAGTATGATTTCGTCTAAAGATAACAATTTAATCAATTTAACAATGGTATGGAAATGGCGAGAGAAAGACGGGCGTCCGTTAGCAAGCAAGCTAAACCTACCCCCGATTTTTTTTTTTACAAATCCTATAATAAAATGAATGAATTATTGAAATTTTAATATACGTGACGACAGCATCCTGGAGTACAACAGGCTACTTACAGCTTGCCTTGCAATCTCAGTTGACGCCATGGTGAGTGCAGTTAGCTGGAGGAAACTACCGCTACCTCTGACTTTAGCCGACGAAGCTGCGCCGTTACAGAAAGCTAGGAACGTACCATTTCATCAAGGAATTTCGCTTTTGTCTTTTGCAAAGACAAAAACTAAAATATTGATGATAATACTAATAAAAATGATTATATCTGTTGCTTATTTCTCGGGGAACGTTGTCTGTATAGCTGAGTAAGATAGTAAAAATACGATAAAGTGAAAGTGAATCCCCCCCATACATAACGCGGATATGGTTCCGTCTGTAATGAATGGAAAGGGTAGTGAACGTTACATACAAACTCAAGTGACTTCATTAAAATGAAAACCAGTCGTAAATAAATGGCATCTGCAAACAATTTTTTGTTATTTTAATGTAATATCAGAGACATTTGTAAAGAGAGTGTAACAACAAACGTTAAAAAAACAAGATGTTTCAATTAATGAATTTCATCTGTCTTCTAGCCAGTGACGAAATGAAATTTAGGGAACCGCCTATTTTGGTCACGTGTGCTTTATTGACCAATAGGAAGAAGGCAATGAATTTAAAGTTGAGCCGTGGAAGTTGTTGTTGGTGACAAAAATTTACAACTTTAACTGAAAAAGGAGCGAGTCTGAGGTGTTGTGCAGAATTTTACGAACTTGTAGAGGTAAGGTGATTTAGAGGAAACAGTTTGTTAGGTAATATCGTATTTCTCAAGCATTCCTAGCTTGCTAACATCAATAAGCTCATGGATTGTCGGTAACTTGACAGCTAGCCAAAAGCTAATATTTAAGAATCTCCAGTACTGGCTAACGGCGAAATAAACAGTCCGCCATAGTAGTTATTTAGATAAATATAGTTAAAATATTTAGTTAAACGTTCAAAGTTCCGAAGAACCAGAACGTTACATACAAACTCAAGTGACTTAATTAAAATGAAAACCAGTCGTAAATAAATGGCATCTGCAAACAAATTTTTGTTTTTTTAATGTAATATCAGAGACATTTGTAAAGAGAGTGTAACAACAAACGTTAAAAAACAAGATGTTTCAATTAATGAATTTCATCTGTCTTCTAGCCAGTGACGAAATGAAATTTAGGGAACCGCCTATTTTGGTCACGTGTGCTTTATTGACCAATAGGAAGAAGGCAATGAATTTAAAGTTGAGCCGTGGAAATTGTTGTTGGTGACACAAATTTACAACTTTAACTGAAAAAGGAGCGAGTCTGAGGTGTTGTGCAGAATTTTACGAACTTGTAGAGGTAAGGTGATTTAGAGGAAACAGTTTGTTAGGTAATATCGTATTTCTCAAGCATTCCTAGCTTGCTAACATCAATAAGCTCATGGATTGTCGGTAACTTGACAGAGCTAGCCAAAAGCTAATATTTAAGAATCTCCAGTACTGGCTAACGGCGAAATAAACAGTCCGCCATAGTAGTTATTTAGATAAATATAGTTAAAATATTTGGTTAAACGTTCAAAGTTCCGAAGAACTAGGTCGACACTGAAGTGCTTCAAAGTAACGTTGAACTTTTTGTTTTCATTGTAGTTTAATCAGAGGTTTTTCTACCTGGATTATTGAGCATGCATCAGGATATTTAATCAGAGGGTTACTTGTTAACGCTAATTGATGCCAATATTCGGTTTTTCTAAATTTGAATATTGGAATGGATAGCAGAAATGAACTATTTTAAGTTGAAGCACTCACGACTTGTTTTTGTTTTAAATTATAACAGACAACTACTAAACATTTTGTATATAAATTACAGTTCATTGTGTTAAATCTCAAATCTGGTGACCTTCAGTTTTCTCTTCACACGACACACTGATGGGTGGTACTAACAGAAATGTATTCTTTAAAACTTATCTAATGTAATCACTTTTAGGTGCACAAAAATACACTTGCACTGACTCAGCTGAATGCCAAGGTTTAATTTCATTAAACTTGTTTTATTGGGAACTTCATGAAAGTTATTGATCTGTTGTTTTTAGAAAAAGCCCTGTTAAGAGTCTGTAAAGAAGTTTTTAATATCGGCTTGTTTTTCAGTGACGATGGCAAACGTGATCTTCACGGAGCAAGAAAATGCTTTTCTCCAAGCACCTACACTGAAGCTGCGACAGCGACTTCAATCTGCACCAGGTGCGAAACCACCAGTTTGATTTTGTTTTTTCCCTTCTGGCAGGGATCTGTTGTGTGGGAATGTACAATGATCTTTCACTAATTTTTCTGTCAGAGAAACTTCTCAAGTCTGAGACTGCCAAAACTATTAAAACCCCTCTGCCATCGGGGCGCAGAGCTTTTGGAATGGTAAACCAACTTTCGACCTCTGCTGTCGGTGCACAAGAGAAGAAACTTTTAAAGCCACAGGTTAGACACGCACACTAAGATCTATCTACAAGTTCATAGTTTCTAACAAATGTATTAATAATGCCCAAGTTAATACCTTAACTTCTGCTTAATAATTAGCATTGTTTTTATATATATATTTTTTACAAATGTGACAGTTTTTTAATTCAGTGTGCAAATTTTGTTTTTAACTGACAGTATTGCTGTGCTTCATCTAAAATGGTGTTTTTAAACAAAGTAGGTCAAATGCTTTTCTAGATGTTGCCTACAGCAATAGAAGTTTAATGTGTCTCCATTCTCAAACCGTTAACCACTCTGTTTATTTCTCAACAGGAAACCAAAGCCAAACCTGCCCCTCAGATTTTAACAGAAGAATATCCAGAAATTGAGCAGTTCATCCCTTACGACCCATTAGGTATATTTTGTTACCACGGTTTGAATATTTCCCTACTCGGTTATGTATATAAAAAAAAGATTAAAAAAAAAGATTAAAAAAAATTGTCAGGCTGTTGGTGTTCAGGATTTTCATCATAACTGTTTGTCTGCTGCATATCAATTTATGTAAAATGTGACCAAGTTGGAAAATGTAATTTTTTATTTAATTTATATTTCTCCTTCCCCATTCCTTGTATCACTTCTGCAGAACATGAGTTTGTTCAATTGTAGTAATTTTCCAGCAAAGGGTTATCTATTTATGAATTTCAAAATGTTTTAATCTTCCAGAGTTTGAGAGGTACAGTGTTCCCGAGGACTTGATTCCTCTTAGCAGCTTGGCTCTTCCTGGACTGGCCTGTTTTTCACAAACTTGTTCTGATCTGTTTGAGGACGACCTAGAAGAAATCTCTCCACTCCCAAACCCGTTGCCTCTGAAGATGCCAAAACGTTCAGGTATGAAGACCCTTATCAGGGCCTCGTTAAAATTCACCTGATTTAAGGCTTGTTAGTTCTACAAAGTAAAGGAGTGACCAAGATGTAAAGATCATTAATTTTTCTCAAAACGACTTAACTTTTTTTAAATTTTTTATCATTAGAATTCAAAAAGCGTTAAATACAAAAACAACTGGACTTTATTTGTAACAGAAGACGTTTCGCTCCTCATCCGAGGAGCCTTCTCAATTCAAAGAGCAGTGAGCGAGAGATTCAGATTATAAGGCTGAGTGAGATAAGACGCACACACATGTAGATTGGCAGTTCACACCTAAACACCTTAACAGTAGGGGTTTCTTAAGGTCTTTGTTCCTCTAACACAGCCCTTGCATATTGGTGTTTTGGGAACAGTTATGCTCAGACGTATGATTTTAGGACTTTTGTAAAGGCCCGTTTGTAGCCCTTTTTTTTTAATGAAACCCTTATGCAGCACCTAATTGAAGCTTTTGAATCAGGAGTGCAACTTGAAACCTATATTTGCTCGTTTTCAGATCGTATGGAGCTGGAAGCTTTTCTTCAAACGCTGGATGAGCTGACCATCGAGCTTCCTCCAGAACCTCAATATGAATTTTAATGTTTTCTTGCACTGTTTTTCGATTTTGAGTGAAATAAAATTTACTGTTCTTAATCTGCGTTGCACTTTATATTGACCAGCTGGGAGGATCTGGGTAGTAAACTGACTTCCTGCTTTTAAAGTCCACCAGTGGTCACATGTGTGGGATTCTCGTCATTGTTTCGAGAGATGAGAACAAACTTTCTCAGTTCCTCTTGCGAAGCAAAGTAGAACCTCTGTATTCCAGAAACTGGAGTAAAGTTCGAGGAGTTTCACCTGCATTATGATGCTCTGTCCAACTGGTGGGTGGGTGTAAGCCCCAGCAGGTGAGTTAAAGCGATTCATGCAAACGTGTTTTAAAAAGCAGCAGCAGCATCAAATGTTTTCTTAACGCAGGAAATGAGCCGTAGAACAGACGGAGCTGAAGCTGCTGAACGGAGACATCCTCAGGGTGTTGTCTAAACGAAAAGGAAGTAGCCTTTGGACTCTGCAGAGCAGCATGAACACGGGGGGATCGGACTATTCTGGATCCGAACCAGCTGCCCACGGCGGGTCGTCCAGACAGAGCTCCGTTGTGGAGCGGCTGTCCAGATATGGCCTCCCGGTGCTTCCCGGAGCCTCCCAGCGCAGGTCGCGGCTGCAGAGGCAGCAGGAGGTCTGGGACAGCTCCGCTCCGGAGAGAGCATCGATCACATCCGCCACGCGCAAACACCATCTGAAGCAGCTGCTCCTGGGTCAGTCGTCTCACAGCGGGCTCAGCTTCTGCTCTTCGCACAGGCCGAGCTCGTCAGAGTCCCAGCAGGACGCGGACTGGGCTCTGTACCCGATGGAGCACGCCTGGATGCTGTCGGCCGCGGAGGGGAACTACGAAACCCTCCTGGACTTCGTCTCTGAGGAGCCCAGTCTGCTGACCAGGCGGGACTTCATCAGCGGGTACTCGGTCCTGCACTGGCTGTCCAAGAGGGGACAGGACGAGACTCTGCTCAAACTCCTGCGGTACACGGAGAGCGCGGGGCTCCAGGTGAACGTGAACCTGCGGGGCAGCGGGGGGCTGACGCCGCTGCACGTGGCCAGCATGCACGGCCAGTTCCCGGTCATCAAGCTGCTGGTCGGAGCCTTCGGCGCCGACGTGGATATCATGGATTACAACGGGAGGAGAGCCTGGCAGTATCTGAAGGAGGACGCCCCGCAGGCGATGAAAGAGCTGCTGGGAACGTGGGACGACGAGCACGGCGATCGATGTGCGCAAAATCTAAACATTAACAATAACTGCGCATGCGCAGTGAACCTGATTGCGCCCGAGGTGGAAGGAGGGCCTGAAGAACAGAACCACCTGGAGCGAAAGAGGAAGGGCAACTGGACAACTGGGTCTTTCAAAAAGCTGTGGTCCTCTTTTTCATTTCATGGATACAAATCCTGAAATTATGTTTAACTTTGTCTCAGCAGTAACAATTCAGCTTCAATTTTAACATTTAACCCTGATAATAACGTGAACTCTACAGGATTATTCCGACACTTTCCTGTACATTTTAGTGGCTTATTTTTGTGATGAACTGAATTTATTTTAATGTGCAATGTTTGCTTAAGATAAAACATGTTTTCCATCTGAACATTAATTTATTTCTTGCTGCAAAATCAAGAGTACTGAATTCTATCCGTCTAACACTGAAATAAAATCAAACTTATTTACATTTCCAGTTTGTGTTTGCAAGGCTGTGCCATCAGTTTTAATTTGTTTTGTATCACAGAACAGTCTACGAAGTGATGTGCTGTAGAGAAAAACATGCTTTGCATCTCTGCTTTTCAAGTTTGATCACTGATCTTTTATTGTCAAACATGAGCATGAACCAGAGTAACTGTACAAAACGACTGCTGCTCCAGACAACAGATCCCTCCCTGTGGTCCGGCCCAGCAGCTGGAGGTCCAGACAGATGTCGAGGAGGAATCCTCAGAACATCGTGTTTACAGGCCGAGCTTGGTCCTTCTCCAGTGTCTCCTCTTGGAGTTGTACCTGTAGTAGAGAAAGCAAATCTGGTATAAGAAACATTTAGCATAATTTTTTTTGATGTGTAGATAAATGCTTAACCAAGAAAGTTTTTTTTTTTTTCTCAAACATATTATTGTACAAGATTGAATAGGCTAAACAGAGTACAGATTGACGTAACTTTCCAGAGTAAAATTAAACTTGTAAATTCTCTGCAAAAATATAATTTGCATAATGGCTCCCATTAAATGATCACCCAAGACCAGTAATACCATTATGAAGCATGAAAACAGACTTAAGGGCTGGTTCAGATTATTAAAATCAGTTTTTTGCACTGCACCAACTTTGCACAACAATTATGACCATATGATCTTTCACATAACACTTAAGGTTGAGGCTTGGACTCCTTCTGGTCGCTGCAGTGTGATTTCTGAATGGACTAAGGCAGCGAGGGGTTCAAAGCTAACCCACCCCACCTGCAAAGCGATGTAGTAACAGAGCCAAAACAGCCTACAGCTTACCTACTCGACATGTGCAAGACAGCTCTGAAGCCTAATGATGTGAAGAAATGACATGATTTGTGGCACCACCCAGTCAGGAGATCAAAACCACAAACGGGTTTATTACTGATTTTTTAACAAAAGCAATTTTGTATCAAGTTGAAAACACGTACGCTGCATCAAGCTATAGCAACTGCCCTGACAAGCAAAGACCTTATTCAACATTTGACCTTGAAGCAGGGGTGATTTAAAAAAAAAGTGTATGTGATGCTCCACCTATTGATGCGTGTATTTCATTACGCAAGTTTACATTATCAGGAGTAGTTAAATTGCTAAACTGAGTTAAATCATGTTTTGAAAATAACACTTTCATCACAATTAAAGCAACACAATCCACTTAAAGCATGCGAGTTATGCTCAATGCCTCTCTTGGTTCCTCGATGCGCGCTTCATTTCTGAAAGCTCGTGTTTGTGCGGGATGTGGTCGCCTCCATCGGCCACGTCTGATCAGCCAGAAGGAACAGAAAGACAAACTGGTCTTGGTGGCCATTTAGCTTAACTGTTTTATATTATCTTGATGATATTTAAAGTTGAATGTCATTATATCATCCCTTCTGGACACCAATATATCTCTGCAATCACGAGAACAGTTTATGTGATGACACAAGCACACTGCTGTAAGAATTTTATACACAGATTGAGGCAACAAGTCAAATCAACAGAGGTGTTCAGCTGCAGAGCTTCATCACCACCACCAGCACAGTGAGGAGAGGCTCTGTAGCAGACATGCTCTCAGCAGGGTTAATGACAGCACTCTACTGATATGGAGTGCTGCAATTGCAGACCTGCTTTGTATAATGTGGAGTTCCTGTATTAGTCAGCAAGAAGTCTCTGAACTTAAGTTTACCAGCTCAGCAATAAAACAAAGTATCAGAGAGCATTATAAACCATAGAAACAAACAACTCAAGAAACTTGAAAAGTAAGTGACATTGACATTTAATTAACTTATATCTAGCAACTAGAGTCAATTTTGATGAGCTTTAGGTCATAAAATGAAGTGTCAGTTTTGGTTTTAAGATAATGAAAAAAGTTCAAACAAAACTCTGCACTGTAAAACTCCTTTAGTCGTGGGTAATGGGTGAACATTTTTAACCTTGATACAAATGACAATTCACTATTCAACATTTTCCTGCGGGGTCAATAAAGTTCTATCTTATCTTATTTAAAAAGTCTTAAAATGATAAACAAATATAATGAAATATGGCAATTAACAATTCCAAATATTTCATTCAACCTTTATTTAGACAGGTAAATCCCATTGAGCCTCGAGGAAATAATATGTCCAAAATCCACAAAGTTTTACTATTTTGTAAATATGTCAAGCCTAAGGTTAATTTCATCATTTGTAAAGTGACAAGAGCATCATTTTGTGAAAAGCACTGAGAAGTCGAACTAATAAATACTATCCGTACAATTCTCCAAACCCTCTATGAATTTTTTTTTTTTTTACATTTTAACAGTAAGAATTACGTACAGTCACTATGGACTGCTTGTAGGAATATTTATAGTTTTAACTGTGGTACCTGCTAACCAAACTATTAAAAAAAAACTGCATGCATCCACAAGATTCAACTCGGGTGCAGATCCACACATTTACTCCTGCTTGTCTGTCCACTAAACAAAGACACCTTGTTTGTCCTGTCGCAAAAACTCAACAGCAACACGCAGGACTCCACTCTGTGTTTCATTGGCTGGTATTCACCTCCTTCATTGGTTAGATTTTTTGACCATCTTAAGGAAAAATGTGTTCTCTCCTCTCTCCCCCTTGTAAATACAAGTGATACCACCCGATTCATCTTAGATCTTTTATCGTTTTGCATATATCTTAATATATATATCTTAGATCCCTATTTAATATTTCTTTTTACACTTTATATTTTTGCTATTGTTGGATGTAACTGGAACCCTGTGTATACAATTTCGTTCTGCCTCATGTACCACATGTGATGCAAATGACAAGAACCTTGAATTCAAGGGCCGCTGGGTGCATCAACCAGTGCAGACAAATCTAAAAAGGAAACGGTGTTCCTTAAAAATATTTTGCATGAACCGCCAAACAAATTTATTGATCAGTGGATTCTCTATCCTTCATTGTGAGGCTGCAGGGATTATTATGGATAGGTCACTTTTATGGGCTTTTTTTTTAACTAATTGTTTATTTCAGCGACATCTGGCAACACTGATTGTGGAGAGTGCTGAACTAAATAAAACCAACTCACCAGCAATGAAATGCCCTAATGTTAAACAACACGTGTTAAATACTTAACCTGGTGCTAATCTGACAAAAGCAGATGTAAAAACACGTAAACAAGAACCCACATGCTAATGAACATAAAAGAACTAGAAGACTAAAGCTGGTCGTAACAAGGGAAATAATAATAAATCCGGTTTCACTTAAGCATCAACATGTTAAAGAACAGTAATATTACGCCGTGTTTTAATGAAATTAAAAGGCTTCACCTGATCTTGTTACCGGTCTTCATTCTGATCCACTGAGGGATAGGCCGGTTCTGTTTCTGCTTCTTGGCGAGAAAACGCTTGATCCTGAAAGTCTTGTGGGACGACTGAAAACACCAGAGATCCCAGTCAGCAACAAATATATGTCTAAAACTGTACTTACGTCTTTATTACAACACTAAACCTACGAAGGAAGTTAGCTATTAGCCAACATAGCTAGCATCACGTCTTAGTGCACTTCTTAACTTTAACTTCAAAATTTCGAACAAAATACAAGAGTTAGGTATTTTTATAAATTGTCTTTTACATTTTTTAGCGTTTTACTGATGGTTTACAAGCACAACTGGAATGGATGATTAAGGATTTAACATTTACCATCTTCTCCACAGTCCTTTCACCACTATGGCGGTGGTCGAAGAGAAAGAAGGAAGTGACGTCAAGATCTTTATTCTGTCTGGTTCTGAAACAGCGACACCAAGCGGTCAGGAGACACAATGCGCAGAGTATTAAGTGTACAGGTGCATCTTAAAGAATTAGAACACTGTATCGTGAAAACTGTCAGTGTTTTTGTCATTCGTTTCAGAAAGTGAAACTCATTTATTACAGAGAATCATTGCACAGTGTGAAACATTTCAAGCTTGTGATTTTGATGACTATAGCTTATAAATAATGAAAAAAAAAAACCCTCAGTGTCTCAGAAATTAGAATCTTAGAATATTAGATAGACAGCTTTTGGTACCTTTGGCAGTATGGACAGGTGCCAGGTCCTGCTGGAAAATGAAATCAGCATCTCCATAAAGCTTTTAAGCAGAAGGAGCATGAAGTGCTCTATAATGTCCTGGTAGATGCTGCATTCACTGGACTTCAGAAAACACAGTGGATCAACACCAGCAGATGGGATGACACCAAATCATCACAGTTATAGACCTGTGACTTGTGTCTATACTGGTCCTGTTAGACCTCCGTGCTGCATTTGATACAGCTGATCATAATATTCTACTATAGAGACTTGAATATGATGTTGGAATTACAAGAACAGCTCTAAAATGGTTTGAATCATATTTATCTGATATATTCCAATTTGTAAATGTAAATAATGAATCTTCTTCATATGCCAAAGTTAGTCGTGGAGTTCCTCAGTGTTCAGTGCTTGGACCAATACACTTTACCTTATATATGCTTCCATTAGGTAAAGTGTTTAAACAGCATGGGATAAATCTAAAAAAAAATTAAATCTGGTCCTCTGGACATTCAAAAAAAACAAAACCATGGTTGAATGTCCAGAGGACCAGATTTAACTTTTTTAGATTTTTCTACCTGGATTATTGAGCATGCATCAGGATAGCATGGGATAAATTTTCATTGTTATGCTGATGCACAGTTATATTTGGCCACGAAACTCAATGAATCCAATCAGTTACTAAAACTACAAGCATGTCATAAAGACATAAAACCTGGATGACCCTAAATTTTCAGCTTTTAAACTCAGACAAGACAGAGGTTTTGGATTTTGGACCTGCGCATTTTAGGAATAAATTTAGCACTTTCTCTGGATTACATTAACTTGGCCTACAGTTCTAATGTAAAAAAAAAAAACCTTGGTGTTTTTTTTTTTTTTTTAATCAGGACATGTCTTTAATCCCCACATTAAAAACATTATCAGATCTGTCTTCTTCCAACAGCATAATTTCGCTAAAATTATAAACATCTTGTCCAAAAATTATGCAGAAAAACTGGTTCATGCATTTTTCACATCTAGTTTGGACTATTGCAATTGTTTATTATCTGGGTGTCCTAAAACTTGTTTAAAAAAGTCTTCAGTTAATCCAAAATGCTGCTGCCAGAGTCTTAACTGGATCATATCTCTCCACTTTTAGCTTCTCTCCATTGGCTCCATATCAAATTCAGAATAGAATTTAAAACCTTAATTCTAATCTTCAAAGCTCTCAAAAATCTTATGGTACAGATCTTACTGTTCCATATTTTTGTAATAGAGCACTTCACTCTCAGCCTGCAGGCTTACTTGTGGTTCCTAGAGTTTCCAAAAGCAGACTGGGAGGAAGATCTTCCAGTTATCAGGCTCCTCTCTTGTGAAACCAACTTCCAGTTTCTGTCCGTGAGGCTGACACATTGTCTAGTTTTAAGACTGGGATTAAAATAGTCATTTTTGATAAATCCTATACTGTAGAGAGGGACCTGCCATTTTGTGTCAGTTTTTCCTTCCTGTCCTCTCAGTCGGTCGAAATAGCTTGTCCTGAGCCTGGTTCTGCTGGAGGTTTCTTCGTCACGAGGGAGTTTTTCCTTACCACTGTCTCCTTCATGCTTGTTCAGGATGAGAGACTGCGATGAAATGAAGACTCAATGCAATCCACTGGCTACTTTAGATAAATGTTACTAACTGAATTTTAATATGAATGTTTCTGTTCAGTGCCCCGAGATAGATCAACTGAATTGAACTGATAGAAAAGCCATAATCTCCACATTGATTTGAATTGAATGTGAAGCATTATTTTTGCCTTCTTCCTGAACAGACTGTGAAATTTGCTTTGCGACCTTTAAACACATAAACCCGAGCTGTCGAAGGCTGTTATGCTGTAACATAACTCTGTGAGCAGTCTGTGCACTGATGTATGAAGATGGCTGCTTGTCCTGAGCCTGGTTCTACTGGAGGTTTCTTCCTCATGAGGGAGTTTTTCCTTTCCACTGTCTCCTTCATGCTTGCTCAAGATTAGAGTTCTGTGATGGAGTTAAACTCAAAGCAGTCTGCTCCTCAGATAAATAGTGTTATTAACTTTTATGTACCGTATATGAATGTTTCTGTTCAGTGCCCTGAGATGACTTCTGTTGTGACTTGGTGCTTTATAAATAAACTGAATTGACCCCAAAGAACATGTACACATAAACATGGTATTACACCTGTTGGCGGGGGTGGGGGGGTGATATGGTTGGTATAGGGCATTTATGCATTATGGCTTCACAGCCTTTTGTTGTTTTGTCAACAACATCTGATATGCTTGAAGAATTATCCACAAAGAAATGTGAGGCCCACATCAGGAAGCTTTCCACAACCCCATCACTTGGAAAATTCCAAGATGGGGAAGAGTTAACACTTTGTCTATATGTTTAAAGTTTAAACAGCAAAATAAGTCGTCTCCGCAAATGCTGTCTCGCAGAAAAGAGGCCCAGCAGAAAAAACAAGTGACTGGGTCCTAATGAAAGCCATCAAGAGAAAACACTGGTACTCTCCAAGGTGGTCTGTTCTAGCCAGGTGCTACTGATCACACACCTCTGATGATGATAATAAGTGTATCAACTGGTAGTAAAACAATGGACACGGAGCATGTGTAACTGTCAGTAATGATCAATGGAAAACCAACCTTCACTCTTGAAAATAAATTTGATTGATTTGCATTTTAAACAGTTGGCGTATCATAAAAATAAACAGCTCGTTCAATATGTGATGTATTGCCTTTTTACAGTCGCCTGACAGTTTAAGCATCACTCTGTCAATTTTCAACATAAATCTTACACAGTTGCAGCACTGGACCATTTTAAAGGCGGTAGTGACCTTTGGGTATCAGTTAAAAGTAAAAGCAGAAACAAACTTTTAGGAAATACCTTTTATTTCCATCAAAACTGGTGTCAGTTTGTATTAGCTTCATCAGCTGTGATACATTTCCATGCTGCATTAAGTTCAAAACAGTTTCAGGTGAGTTAGAAAGAGGAAAAGGCCACATGTTGATCCCACTGATTATTTAACGTCCACGTTTACATGCAAGAATAATGTTACACGGCAGTAGTCAGAAATGGCTATTTCTCCGTTACTGTTGCATATAAATGAGCACATCATAAACAACTTGTCTGTAAGTCAGACAAGCAGATTAAATCCTTCTTTGTTTGATATACATGTACATGGAGTGACTAGACCATGAAAGATTTCTTGCTTCATGATTTCATTTGAACCTGGAAACAGAAATGAAAAGGATTGTCCTGAAAACAGCACAGAACTTGCCAATGTTGACACGGTGTAATTAAACTGCAGACTTTTATTTAGATGTTCACATGGTGTAAATTACTCTTCCATCATTGCAGCAACACTGAAGTAAGGTCACTTTGAGTTTCTATGGTCCTCAAAAACTTTGGCTTCAGATAATGTGCCTCACAGCCAAACTGTTGAAACGTTTGTTACCGCTCTAAAAAAAAATTATTTTAAGAGGGTCACATTCAGGCACTAAGATCAACTATCTTTACCTCTGAGACTGGGAGAGCTGGGTGCAGCCCTGTTTTGTCAGCCGTGCACGGTCTACCCATCAAATCTCAAATACCAGAAGTAGAAATCTGCTCAATCTTCTCCTTTTTCAGACACTTTCTTGTTCTCGGTATCTGGTTTCCTGTCGGCAGAATTGGCTTCTCCTCCTCCTGCCGTGGCACGGTTGCGGCTCCTGGCCCCCGGCTGGTACAACTGAATGGCGGGTCGGTCCTGATCAAAAGAAACAATTCACTCAATCACCTTACAATTTTAAGAAACAACTTGAAGGTCTGATATCTTTGAGCACATACCTTATTCCGTAGGCGCTCTCTTTTACCACTCTCATCCTTTTTATGGTCTTTGGCTGCCTTCTCCATCTTCTCCGAGTGAGAGGTTGACATGTTTTCACTCCTCTTCTTCTCCAAGGCTCTTTCTTTTTTAATTTCTTCATGCTTTCTGAAGGTGTTCTCTCCATCCTGCTGTTCCCTTCTTCTCCGCCTGTCCTCGTCCTGACGTCTGATGCGCTCCTTCTCTCTCTGCCGCCGCTCCTTCTCCCTCTCTCTGTCTCGCTCTACGTTGCGCTCCCTGAACTCCTTCCGCACATTTTCATCCCATCTGAGAGTAAGTCACAACATTTGCTTGGTTACATTGTTCAAAGTGAGCATGACACGTGTAAAAAATGACTACAGAAACTGACTTCCTCTCACGGTCCTCCCTGTGTTCAGTGTTTTGTCTCCTTTTTAGATCACTGCCTCCTGTTGATCTGTCTTCTTTTTGTGGCTTCTCTGGTTTCTTGGCCTTCTCCTTGGGTTTTTCAGACTCTGCATCATCAGATCTGTCCGGCTTCTTTAGGAGCTGAACATGAGGAAAAATTACCGATATTGCAAATTGGAGAAAGTTTCAAACTGCTTTATCGCACCATAACACAAACCTTGATTTTTGGTTCATCCTTAACGTGATCCTTGTCTTTCTCTGTGGGTTTCTCGAGCCTTTTCATTTTCTCAGCCTCTTTTCGTTTCCTCCTCTCCTCCTCTCTCCACTTGCGACGCTCTTCGTCACGCAGACGCTTGCGCTCAAGCTCCCTCCTTCTCCTCTCCTCCTTCTTTTCCTCCCTTATTCTCTGAACATCAGAATAGGAAGTGTTAAGCCATTCTCAAACAGGCAGCAGACTTACCTCAAATATTATACCACAGTTCCACATATTTACCTGTTTATTCTTCAGGAAGTCCAGCAAAGGAGTTGTCTTTTTAGCTAGAAAGAAACAAAAACATTAAATTAAAGGCTTAGCTTCCCTTGATGAAATGCACATCACGCACTTCCCTTCATGGCAGACTTTTAAACTAAGCATCCTATGATGAGAAGGGATGCAGTTATAGCAACTTTGGTGAAACCTTGTAAATTATGCTATGCTAAATCTCCTGCAATACTGCAAAATCTCACAAGATGTGTTGGAACTTAAGAGTATATATTAGGAATGAATCCCAGCTACTAGCAGACAAATTGAACTCAACATTTGTAAAACTGACTGAGTTATAGACACTTTTGTGTTGGCTAAGGTCGAGGTAATAATTATACCTTCTTAAATCTTACCATTAAATTCATACAGTATCGGTTATGAAACCAATGTAACAAACCTTCAAGTTCCTTAGATTTAGCCTCCAGCTCCTCTAACAGAGTTTCCGTTGTGGAAGTCAGTTTCTCTTCATCTCCGTTGTAACAGTCAAGAAACTTCTTATATTCGGGGTCTGATAGAAGTGCAAATATAAACATAGAAAATGACATGAACATTAAATGTTAACATTTCATTTAAGATGAACACAACACATCAACAGAAATATTTTTTTTTCTTTTGACCTAATGTAGGGAATAGAAGCAAAAAAAGGTCAAATATATCAATTTAGAAAAGTTTTGAACTTGTATTAAACTGATCTGTCTTTAAAGTTATTTCTGTTGATATGATAATGGAAAAAAACAGCCTAAAACTTGTAAACCTTTACCCTCAGTAATTGTTCCACATTTTGAGTCCTTCTTTTTGCTTCTTTTCTTGGCTATTTTCTGAAAAGGTGCAAACTCCACAATGGCTGGGTACTCCTGTCCTGTAGAAAAACAGTGTGTGGACAAAATTGTTGTATTGGATCCACTCTTAGAACAACCTTTATAGATGTCTAGTTAAATATAAAACCCTTCCTTACCTCTGTGGTCTATGAATACGTATCCATCGAACCGATCTCTGAAAAGAACAATGTCCTCTTGATTTTTAAAACTGATGTAAGCCCTTGCGAAGAGATGGGGGTAAAGGCTGAAATGACAAGGCATGGCATGTAATAAAAACAGGTCAGGTATTTCTTGTAAATGAGTCCCGAGGCTCAGTGGGATCAACCTGTCTAAATAAAGGTTGAATGAAAAAACATGCTAGGGGAAATGTTAAGTGTATTTTTAAGAGTAAGGCAGATTTACAGGTGGACTCACCTGGTGTCGTTGGCGAAAAACTCCAAGTAATCCACATCTGGAAGAGGCTGCAACTGCTCTTCTAACTCCTCTTTAGTCAAACTTGGTGGCAATCGTCTGATTACAATCTAGAAAAAGATTGTTAATTAAGAGGTTTACACTAAAACACGGAACAACACATCCAACTGATGAATTAAGTAATTTGTTTTAAAGTTGTCTGTAAAGTTAAAATATGTTTAGTGCCTTTATATAAAAATATCTTATACTAAAACTAATAAAAACACGCAGCAATGTTAAAAGCACGCTTAATGTGAAACTTTTACCAATTACAAACACTGGTGGCTTAGCAACATTAGCTTAGCTAGCAAGTTTTACCTTTGTCAAGGCCTCCTTCTTTTCCTTGGACCTCTCTGTTTTCTCTCCATCTTCACACTTTATCTCCACTCTTTTCTCTTTCGGACGAGTGTTTTCTTTGTCTTCTTTCATGTCTGAATAGCTAGAAAGATCCACAGTTTTTTCTCATGTCACCAATCAGACTTGTTTACTTTTTTTAGCAAGTTAGCCAGCTAGTAGCAACCTTACTAACTGCCCCGCGACTTCCTCTGTAAAACGGCCGAACTTGCAGTTCAAAGCTCCCACCGGAAGGGGGCGCTCTAGATAAAACATGAGTCTCTTCTAACGTTCAATTTTTTTTTATTTTTATTTCATTTCATTCCCTCCAGAATATAATACATTCAACTTTTATTTAGCAACTAAAACTTTTTCTTTTATTGTAAAAGTTTTTCCCTCTGTAGGTTTAAGATGAGTGCTTCTGTGTTTTGTTTCACCGCGATATTGTCCCCCCGCTGCTTTTATTTTGAAAAGCTTCGACAGGAAGTACTTTTTAAAGCGGAAGTCGGGTCATCTGTACGGTTGACATTTTGTTAGCTTGGCAGCAAAATAAACCGTGTTCGGGCAAGTCTGTTGTCCTTAGAGCTGTTTTCTAGCGCCTGGAATTTAAAGTTGGTTAACATGTGGTACGAAATCCTCCCCGGTTTGGGCCTTATGATAGTGTGTTTGACTATTCCCGGCATCACGATCGCACATGCCCATAGGTGGGCGAATGGAGGAAAGGTGAGGACGGTGTTCAGAACAACGGCTTTGAACCTACTTCGTTAAATTGTAAAACCTAGACGTCTTTCAGCCTAAGAATTTTTTTTTCCCCATTTCAGGAAAAAAGGGTCGTTCGGAATGGTTGGCAATGGTACATGCTTCAGAGGGACGCGCGAGTGTCAGGAACGGGTCGCAGCTTCGAATCCAAGGTGAATTGACCTTTTCAAAGTTACACAAATTGTGCATATCCTTAAAATAAAACAACACACAGTCAATGTTTAAAACATTACAGTGACTGAGGAAACTAATCTTTACATATGTACATCACATTCACCACTTCTGTCATTTATTGTCAGTCATGTGGCCTTAACCTTTTAACTAATGTTAAAACGTTTATATATTATGCAAATATACCCTGAACAAAATGAAGTCTGAAGCTTTTTCTTCTTCTTCTCCTAACCAGGGACTTGAGAACATCGATTGATGACAAGAACCATGAAGACCTCGATGAGGAGAGTCTGTGTTGTAAATTAAAGAGTACAAACCAATTTCCCCTCTAAAAATCTTTCAAATAAAAACGTTTCAAGCTTAAAACCAAAGTTTCCTACATTGATTTATTTTATTAAAATTGAGTTTAAGCTTTAAATGATCAGCTAAACCCTTTAGAATATGACATTGTTGAAAATATTGCACCGGCATGCAGTTAATTATTCTTGTTCTATAAAAAATACATTTATGCAGCTCAGCTGGCACGGTGTTAAACTGAATATAAAACAGCTAAAACTTCAGCTGTTAATGCTTAAATTCTTTATTTTTCTCAATTCATATTTGGGAATTCTATAAAAAGTTGGAATGATGAATTCATAACATCGGGAAAACAAAAAAGAATTGAGCAATTAATCTCCTGATGCATGCTTAATAATCCAGGTAGAAAAATCCAAAAAAGTTCAATCTGGTCCTCTGGACATTCAAAAAAACAAAACAAAGCAAAAAAATATAGAAATGTTTCGTCTCTCATCCGAGAGACTTCCTCAGTCTGAGGTGCTGTTTTCAGCTCAGTCTCTTAAATATGGGGAGCAATATTATAGGCAGAAACATGGGTGTGCTATGGGGTCTCCAGTTTCTCCTATTGTTGCCAACCTGTACACGGAGGAGGTAGAAAAGAGAGCCTTGACGTCCTTTTCAGGGACACCACCAAGTCATTGGTTCAGGTATGTTGACGACACCTGGGTTAAAATTAAATCTCAGGAAGTCCAACATTTTACTGACCACATCAACTCTGTGGATAAATACATCAAGTTCACACGAGAAGATGTAAAAAATGGCAAGTTGGCTTTCTTGGACTGTGAAGTCTCAGTCTCTGATAGAGGACATTTGCAAACTGAGGTATACCACAAACCCACCCACACAGACCAGTATTTGCAGTTTGACTCCCATCACCCTTTGGAGCACAAGTTAGGAGTCATCAGGACTCTGTATCACAGAGCAGACAGCGTCCCCACTAGCTCAGGAGCCAGGCAGAAGGAGAAATCCCACACAAGACAGGCTCTAGAGCAATGTGGATATCCTAACTGGGCCTTCCTGAAAGCAGAGAAGAAACCCAAACAGGACTCCAGTCAGCCATCAGGTGAAAAGGAGGAACCCAGACCAGTGGTCATTCCATTTGTTGAGGGAGTATCAGAGAAACTGAGACGTTTATTTTCTAAACATAACGTCCCAGTGGCTTTTAAACCCCAAAATACATTACGGCAAAGACTGGTTCATCCCAAAGATCCAGTCCCCCAGCACAATCAGAGTAATGTTGTGTATGCTGTTCAGTGTCAGGAGGGTGATCAGTCTTACATCGGGGAAACTAAACAGCCACTGGCCAAAAGGATGGACCAGCACAGAAGATCAACATCATCAGGTCAGGACTCTGCGGTCTACACTCATCTCCAGGCCAGTGGTCACTCTTTCAGGGATGAAGATGTTCTCATCATGGACAGAGAGGAACGATGGTTTGATAGAGGAGTAAAGGAGGCCATCTTTGTGAAAAGAAATCGTCCATCATTAAACAGGGGTGGAGGCCTCCGGGTTCAACTGTCCCCCTCTTACAATGCTGTGATTGCTAGTATCACTCAGCCCTCTGTGAGTAGTAAACAGCCATCAGTGTGCTAATGATCCATTGTTAGGCTGATGGTCCTTCTTGAGTATGTGATCAGCTGGTTTTGGTTGTCAGCAGCAAACTGGTTGATCCACTCTGAGAAGGTGCTATTTAAGAGACTGAGCTGAATACAGCTCCTCAGACTGAGGAAGTCGCTCGGATGAGAGACGAAACATTTCTATATTTTTTTGCTTTGTTTTGTTTTTTTGAATGTCCAGAGAACCAGAATGAACTTTTTTGGATTGAGCAATTAATCTTATCTGTTTCGTATTTTCTTGATGGAAAAAAAAAATCCATTCACGACCGTTGAAGAGAATTAACACAAATAAATACATGTATGAGAATGGATTAAAAATAAGAATGCAGGTGAATATTTTCCAGACATTTTGTTACACTCATTGAACAGAGACGACACATACACTGTATATTTTAGTAAAATTTAATGTAGGAAACCTCTCAGTAATAAAACTACTGCTGTCACAGAACAAAGAGAAAAATGTTTCCTGTGATTGGAAATACAAAAGACAAATTATTTCTCCTCCTTGCCTTTAGTTTTTCTGTACACCATCTCCCTAAAGCTTGACAAGATCTTGCTCTCCCTCTTCCGCCTCTCCTCCTGGTTGAAGGAGGCCAGAGCTCTCTTTTCATCCGCGCTGTAGATCTGGTTTTCCTTTCTCAGACGCACAGCCTCCATACGACGATGTCTGCAGACAGATGTAAACACCAGCGTTACAGAAACAATGGACGAGCTGAGCTACAAACAGGGAAACGCAACATTCTGAACCAGGCGATGCTGCAGTTGAGGCATGACAACAAAAATGTGCATGGGCAAGTCTTTTTTTTTTTTTGGTAAATAAAAGTTTTTCTGAAATTTTAGCTGATGGGGAACAAGAAGAAAACTAATGTCAAAAAAGTTCAAATGTGTTAATGCAATGTTCGCCCCTGGACTCAACCTTTTCCCCTAAAAACATTTGTTTGGAGTTTAGTCATATTCATCTACCCCCGCACACCAGCAGATGGCACAGCCGTGTCCTGCCTCAGCTCTAATGGAGACTGTTGCCATATAAACATGTTACAACAAAAGTGACATTTCTTACCTGCTGCCGCTCATGACATAACCGGACTTCTCAAAGTCTGCGATCTCCTCGCTGGTGAGACCAATTTCTCCTCTTCTTGGAATACGTTTGCCCGCTTTCACGTACTCAGCCATGGCAGCACCTTCACCTGGCAACAACGCGTGGCCAAAACTGAAATCAAGCCAACAAACAAAAAAATGTAAACCACAAATGGAAATTATAATATCTAAGTTTCTGTGTTATTATATTAACAATTCCACATTTTAAACTAAAATGTAGTTTTTGCTTAAAATAATTACCGTACACATTGTTTTGTGTTCATGATAACACTTTTTTTGAAGCAGACCTTCTTGTAACCTGTACCTTTATCCTCACTCTTTTCACAGATCGGTTTTATTTAAAAAAAAAAAAAAATGGTCATGATCATATTAAACAAACAAACAAAAAAAAGTAAAACTCACTCCAGAGGCTTGTCATCCTGTGAAGTATGAGTGAGTGGTGCTTCAGGACCAACTATGTGTTCATCCATGCAGGTTTTCTCTACCCACATCACCCCACTGCCTTCCTCCTCCTCTTCCTCCGATTCCTCGCTGCTTGAGTCACTGGATTCTTTCCGGTTCTTCTTCATCCTCTTCTTCTTCTTGGACTTCTTAGACCTTTACCAAACCATAACGTTCACTTAATAAATTTAACACACACGTGTGAATAAAGTAGTAAACTTGAAATTCACTTTTTGCTCTTCTTCTTCTTTTTCTTCTTCTTTACGTCTTCCTCAGCTGTGAATTATATATAAAAAAAAAAACACTTTCAACAACAGATTTAAAAAGAAGATCCTGATGAGATTACTTCAACACGTGTTTTTCATACCATCTGAATCTGATTCCAGATCACTCTCCTCCGAATGCTTCTTGCTTTTTCTCTTCTTGGACTTCTTTTTCTTTTTCTTCTTCTTTTCCTCTGTTAAATCACAGAAAGCATTACTTGTACATTCGAACACAGACGCCCACACAAGCTGTTGTCACGCCAGAGACGTTGAGACAAGATCAATTAGAACCATTTCCACAGAAGAGGGATGTGGAGGAGTGAGTTTAGAGCACCAAGGTGGCAGAAAAACTACAGAATGCTCAAAAAGACCTGCAGCTACGTTACCACACAAGCCTGTTGATCTTCAGGATGCTTCACAGAGCCATGACAATTTGAGAGAGACTGATATTTCTGGTCTCATCTTGGCAATGATTGAAAAACATTTCTTTGACATTTCATCACTGCAGTGTGTGTGTGTGTGTGTGTGTGTGTGTGTGTGTGTGTGTGTGTGTGATGACAACACAATCTCCATCACTTATCTTCAGTCGCAGCATACCTTCTGAGCTCGATTCGGAGCTTTTGTTTTTCTCATCTTCTTCAACTGGTGTGAATTCATCAGAGCTGAGGGAGAGAAAATCCACATTTGCCAAAAGGCACTAAATAAAAATGGTTTCTTTAAAGCAACAACATACGAGTTAATTTAATGTGAGGGTGGATTGTGAACTCACTCTGGTTCTTTCACTCTTGGTGAGTAGCCCCAAACTTCAGGACAGCCAAGCTCCCCGATCCTTTCCCTCTCCTGCAGACGCCTGAAACAGAAACCCAGAAGGTTCAGTCTTATATAGTCTGAGAAAAATTATAAACTACATTTAAATCTGTGAAAGGTCCTAAATGTCAACTTATATGAGAAGTGGATCTGTAAATGGATCTGTTTCCAAATTTCAGAGGAAACATCAAGTTGCATAAAATACTTACGCTTAAATCGAAGTTTCAAGTAATGTGTTTCTGTCAGATTGTATGATTAAAAAGTTGAAAGATAAAGTTAAGCAGCCTACAAGATATTCTTGAAAAGTCCATGTGCTTTTAAATGATGAGACTTACCACTTGTGCTTTTGAACAAATAAGAATCAAACGCTGTTTATGTAACATAAAATTCATATTGGAACCTCGGTTGCTTGACTTGGGCTCATCATGTATGCCTGCTGCTAATGTTGCAGCGTGTTTCCTACCTGGCAATAAAAGCCTCCTGTCTCTGCCTCTGAACGTCGTCCCTCTGCTGCTGGTAATAATAATCATCTTTGAAGCTGCCATGTTTCCCAGCTGCGTCCCGCTGCTCCGACCAGTGGTTGTGGTTCTGGTTGCTGTTGTGGTTCTGACGGTCCCGAGACCTGGACCGGGACCTGGACCTGGAGCGGCTCCGTCCGGGACTTCCAATGCGGATTCGCCTGAGGTTTCTTGCCTCTTTGAAGCGACGCTCCCGTTCTTCTCGCTCCCTCTCTCGGTTGCGGGGTTTCGGGAGTTTGGGCCCGAAGCTGTCCGGAGAGAGGCTGCGCTCTCCGCTGTCCCCGCTGCGGTATCGTCTCCGAGCCCGAGGACTGCGAGGCTCGCAGCCGTCTGAGCTCGACCGATCCGACAGAGGCATCCCGTCCAACCTCCGCAGACTTACGGACGAAAAGAGACGAGCTAACTTTGGCTGTTCAGTGTACTGCAATTTTTTAGTACGCAAGCAATAACAGGAAATGATTGCGTCCGTAACCAAAAAGATCCGATGTTCCTCCAACTAGACCTACATAGTTCCGTTGATCCTCAAAGAACGGCAAAAATACATTTTACTTTACTATAACTATAATTTTGAGGCATTCAAATAAATCACTTCGTTATATGGTGCTGTATATACAAGTAACTTTACACTAACAACATAAAAATAAGCGTTACATATAATCATCACATTCAATGAAGTGGGCTTTAAAAAAAAGATTTTAATTAAATGTGTATTAATACTTAGCGGTTTTTTTTTTTTTTTGCTTGTACACAAAAGGCGATGTTGATTTTTACGATCTTTTATAGAATATTTTTTCCATCTTTCCATGACAAAGTGGAGCAGATATTATCTCCTGTAAAAAGACATCATTGTTATACAACATACCTTTATTTAATTATAAAGCACTTAAAACAGCAACAAGGCCGAAGTGCTGTGCAGCAAAAACAAACAAGCAAAGCATCAAACAACAAAAAATACATAGATCCAAATGGGAAAAGATAATAACTAAATGGCTGACACAGACAGGTTAAAAACAAATCACACAGTGTCAAAAGCTAGGGGGAAACAAGTGGGTTTTTAAGTGAGAGAGGGAGCCTGCAGTTGTAAGTCATTCCACAGTGTTGGACCTGCAACAGAGAAAGCTCTGCTTAAGAACAATCTGATCTGCTGATCTCAGAAAGCACTGTGGGACATATGGCTGCAGCAGATCAGCAAGATTTAAAAACATACAGAAGGACTTTGAACTGAATTCAAAAGTGAACTGGGAGCCAGTGCAGGGAGGCCAAAACTGTTGTAATGAGTTCTGTGTACTGGTTAAAAATCTGGCTACAGCATTTTGGACCAGTTGTAATCTTGCAATAGATGTCTGACCAATTCCAAACAGAAGTGCATTGCAATAATCAAGTCTGGATGTTATGAAAGCATGTACAGTCTCAAGGTTATTTTTGGACCGTATCGCTTAAATTTACACAGTCGCTGGAAAAAAAGCAGAATTTAACAATCGTGTTTGCATGACTGTTAAGTTTCATGGAAGGGTCCATTATCACTTCCAGATTTTTGTTTCTCTAGAGAGGAAAAGTCGATGCAGTGGTTCTTGGTTGTGCTATTAAGAGGAAACAAAATGACGTCTGTCCTTCTCATTAAAACTTAAAGAAATTGAACGCCATCCAGTGCCTTATGTCAGCCAGGCAGTCAAGAAGAGGTTGAATAGAGCATGCACCTGTGCTTCAGAGTGAAGTAAATTTGACAGTTGGTGATGTAGAAATGAAAGGGTATGCCATGTTTAGGAAATATAGCGCCTAGTGATAGCAGGTATAAAGAAAAGAGAAGAGGACCGAGGATGTGGTATAATATGTTGTATGTTGTACATACAAACATTTCAAGCACCTTTTAATAACTTCTCTTGAAATTATTTTTCTCAAATAACAATAATTTAGAATTGTATTCTATCATATATTTAATATATTTATATATTTTACATTTGTTTCAAATGATTTTTCCCATCTATTATTTGTTGTTTGAATCGCTTCTGTAACACATGGATTTAAAAGTTGTATTGCTTCTTTTGTCTTTCTTATTTATTCACTTATTTTGTTTTCTCTTTTATACTTAATTATAAGGGCAATCCAACAATTTATAAAGGAAAAAAAGTTTAAGTTCAATAGAAAATAAATTAAAACTAGAGAAATAGCATTTCCTGTGAAAATGCATTGTGAATGCTTACTGCTGAAAGGTTTTTGCTTCAAGCTGCCGAAGAAGCTGAAATTAGGCTGAAATTATTTAATTATTAACTTAATAGAAGTTGAATTTGAGCAGCTGATATTTGCTGAAAGCAGGAAAATAAATGCAGAAAGCTTCAGAAAATTGTAGAAAAAGCTGAACAGAGTAGAAATGAATAGAATATAATGAAATGGGCAGAGAGAGAGAGAGAGACAGAATAAATTATGGACAATATGAAATTAGCAACAAAAAAAACAAACTGAAATAAGCCAAAAAAGTTGAAATTAACAACTAAACGTAGCAGGAAAAGCTTTTTAAAAACCTGAGATTAGCAGGAAAGTACCTAAAAGGCAGCTGAAAAGTAGACAAAAGCTAAATTTAGCAGAAAAGTGTTGCAGTTAGCATAAAAAAAATTTGAACTTAGCACCAAGAAGCTGAAAGGAGCTGAAGGAAGCTGAAATAGAAATTGAAAAAAGCTGAACCAGAACAAAAGCTGAACTTAGCAGTAAACGGTTTTAAATAGCACAGAGGGCTCGAAGGATGTGAAGAGAACATTAATGTCCAATGAGAGAAACATAGACATACAATATACTGTATTTTGCTTTGTGTGTTACCTGTTGTTTTGTCTGTACAGCACTTTGGTTGGCCTTGTAGCTCTTTTAAGTGCTTTATAAATAAAGTGGTATGGTATACGTTTATACTAGGTCTGTGGAGAAAAACATAAAAGCTAAATATTTAAAAAATCAATGCACCCTTCTCAACTTCAACAGTATTTTTCAAAACTTTCAAAAGTGCGTTGTGCTTTTTTGGCAGAGACAACAAATCGTTGTCGTGCTTTGATTTTGAAGTTAAATTGACGATCAGGTACTTCCGGTGGTGCAGCAGTTTTTTGGGCGTTTCCGGTGTTTTTTCGGCCAAAGCACACCGGGCAATTGGCTTGTTGGCTTGCAGCTCATTGGTCATCTTAGTGTTGACTGAAGTACAACAGTTGCTGGTAAATACGTCAAAACTTTCTTTCTAGTGACTAAATTTATTTTCGGAGAGACGTTTAAGATTTTATGATTTGTATTTGAGGATGGCTAACAGGATGCTAAGTAGGCCGCGCTTCTTCCTCATTTTTAAGGATACCGCGTTACCTTTGTCAGCAAGCTAACAGCAGCAGCTAAATATGTTCAAGTGAAATTAAACAATAATGCGGCGTTTATTTTTGTCATTAAAGTCTTCGGTTAATTATCAGTAGAGTTGCTGTTAGTCTTTTGTAAATCCGCGTGAGTTTAAAAAGTCAACTAATTTCTCCAACTGAACGTCATTGTTTTGACTTGAGTGTCAAACATAAGTAGATTTCATCGCAAAATCGTTATTTGCGTTGCTGTTCACTACACAAAGCGTTGATTAAAACAATTATTTGAAAATAGATGTTTAGTTTGTAGGTCTGGCTCATTAACAACCGATAAGCTTGTGGAAGTGCTTTGGTCTATTATTTTAAAACTTGTTTTGTGATAATTATACAGACAGTTTGGAGCTTTTACTTTTGGATGTATGATTTGCTCAACCATTGTTTTATATTATGCTTCAAAACATACTTATATTTGATTTCTATTTAGATTTCACATTTTTGTATTCAAAATAGGTACCTTTTAAATTTTATGTTTCAAACTACAATGCTGTATTGATTTTTTTTATTTAGTTTTAATTTACTTTCCATCTCCTGCTGTGTGAAATACTTGGATACATGTTTAGAGAGGTGTTGCCCATTTATTGAGCAGGTCCGTTTGTCTCGGCTGCACTCTTTTTATTTTATTTTTATTTATTTATTTTTTTCTGACTGTTATGTGTGGACTGCTGTATTCTTTGCAAGGCTTATGTTCAAGAAAACTATTTTCTCTCGAAATCACCAACTTATTTTGCGAGATAGGCTGCCTCAGAACAACAGTTCTATGAATACAATGTTCGATGTTACATGTTTAGTTTTAGTTTTATGCCATAACTGACTGCGTATGATTTCTGATTTGTTTCCTTGTTTATTTTTTTATTTACCTTTTGCAGAAATGACAAATTTGAAGCTGATATCGGCAACCAACACACAGTATTCAGCAGAAATCCTGACGTCCTTGAATGCGCAGCGAAGTCATGGATTGTTTTGCGACATCACAGTCATCATACAGGACAAGAAATTCAGAGCTCATAAAACAGTCCTGGCTGCCTCAAGTACGTACTTTTACCAGCTCTTTACTGTTGCTGGACAAGTGGTTGAGCTGAACTTCGTCAGACCAGAAATCTTTGAGCATATTCTCACCTACATTTACAGCTCCAAAATCGTGCGTGTTCGCTCTGACATGCTCGAGGAGCTCATAAAGGCTGGACAAGTACTGGGAGTGAAGTTTATTGCAAACTTGGCTTTACCTCTATCCCAGGTGAAAGGTATTTCTGGTTTGTCTAAAGAGACAGGACAGAAAAACGAGACCTCTGAAGAGAATATGCCAGTCATCACAGAGTCCTTCTCCATTTCTGCAGAGGAATTCAACCAGTCAAACAAATCTGCAGGAAATGAGGACGACTCGGATGACGTTGTGTTCGTCTCACATACAGATGCTCAAAGCAGAGCAGCCAGACAAACGGCCCACTCTGAAATTATAGATTTGGATGCGATAGAATCAGAAAATGTGACATCAAAACAAAATTCTGAATTAAATAATGGTGTTGGAGCACATGCAAACAAAGCCACAACCCCCCTGAGAATGAACTCTGCAAAGCCTCACAACGTGCCAGAGAACAGCCCTCTCCGTAGCCCTGACAGCAGCTCCAACGTTTCGTCTTCCTCTGCCAAAATCTGCACAGGAAGTGTTCCTTCAGTGCAGGCCAGATCAGACCACCTCACCTCTGGACCACCCAGTGCCGCTAACTCCTCTGAAAGCAACGACGTAATGGGAGTCCACAAGAAGCAAGTCACTACTTCATCCCTAACGGGGGATTCCAAGATAAGGCTTTTAGATGTTGTTGATGCCTCAGTACCTGTAGCTAACACTGAAAAGCTGCAAACGCCAGATATGCAAACGGTGACCTTCAACACACCCACAGAAATGGATTCTTTGTCATCAGGCTGTAAAGTGTATGCTAATATTGGCGAAGATACTTTTGATATTGTCCCAGTGAAGGATGATCCAGGGGAAGGAGGCTCTAAAGCCAATAAAGGCAAGAGATCCTTTATGGCAACGCCCTTGAAAGCCTCCGATACACCACCTTTGCCAACAGAACTTGGACCAAACAGGAAGAGGAACAAAACTGAGGTTGAGGACCATTATGAGCTGGTCATGGATGGAAAGACATTCTTTGTTTGCATCATCTGTAAGCGTCCCTACGTGTGTCTGACCAGTCTGCGTCGTCACTTCAACACTCACTCGTGGGAGAAGAAGTACCCGTGTCACTACTGTAACAAGGTCTTTGCCCTGGCTGAATACAGAACTAAACATGAGATCCACCACACAGGAGAGAGGAGGTACCAGTGCCTACTGTGTAACGACACGTTCCTTAACTACCAGTTACTCTCCTCGCACTGCAAGTCGGTCCACAACCAGGATCCGAGTGGGAGGAAGGAGAAGGAAGATGGCGAGAACAACTTATACCGCCTGCTGCCATGGCAGAAAAAGATGAACACGTGGGTTTCGGACGAATCGGAGGTTCCTCTCCTATGTGACGATGGCAGCATGAATCACATAAACACAGACAGTGATGCTGTTCTCCCGTCCACCCAAAAGTTGAACTGGGACAGCATGTTTATCAACACTCACCCGCAACCGGAGGCCGAGACTCAACCAGGCTCGACTGTGAAGTCCGCTCCACAGGGAGGCACAGAGTTTGAGTATATTACACCAGAAATGTACTAAAGAACAGTGGCCTTTTAGGCGCCCACTCACTTTTTACCTTTCAGTTGAATCTCAACAGTCATTTAATGCATTTACAACTTTGGGCTTTATTTTTAGAATCTGATGGTTTTCTAGATTTTATTTTTTTATTTTTTTGTGTACTTTTAAAAAATAATCGAAAGGTTAAACCTTGTAAAGAAAACAACAGTCCCCTCCTGTAAAAATATATTGCAGGTGTGTTTGAAAACGATGATGCAACACATTTGTTGCTTTAGACGTATGGGTTAAAACCAATATTGTATCAGATTAAGGTGTAAGGAAAGTTGCGCAATGAAATTATTGGTAAACTTTAGTAGTAATAATGTGGTAATAATGCACTCAAGTTCTATCGCAGCCCCCCCGTGCTTATTAAAAAGCTCTAAACTGAACATTTTAGTGGCAGCTGACTCAGAAACAAGAAACTTCATTTCGTTTAATAACCAGAAACGTTAAAAAATCAATTAATTTTTATGATTTATGAATTGCTATTGCATTTATTATGCAGGTTAAGTGGTCTTTCACAGTAAAATGAGTTTTGGGAAAGTTTTCTTTGAACAAATACGATGGCAAAGGTTTGTCTGATTTAAAATATTAATTTCAGAGTACGAGGTAAAGTTCTCGGAGGCTAACTTTGATAAAGTTCAAAATAGATTTGTGTGGAATGAATTTTGATTTAAACAAATCAAACGCAAAGCGGGGTGGTGAAAAGTGACATCCATAAATCTATTTAACATTTAGTCCCTAAAACAGATCTGACGTCAGCTTTATTAGCCAAAAACTTGCTTTACTGCTTTAAATACATGAAACCTCAGTTTAACCATCTTCCTTTTCTTATCACGTGTTGTTGTTGTTTTTGTTTCTGATCTGTATTAGTTACATTAGTTTTTGTATAAAATATAAATTATGAAATACAACATATTGCTCTTTTGTTTCATTAGATGTTTATTTAGATGGAGAAATGATAACTCTGTTTTCTATTTTAAATTAGCTTAAGGGAACGCTGATTATGATCTCAAATGTATTTTTCCATCACAGGTCCATAGCCACATTTGGTTCCTTTAGCAAGGAAGTTGTACAGTTGTCACATTTATGAGTAGCTTAAAAATCATGTTTTTTTTAATTTTATTTTAATCCTTAAAGTAAAGAAGCTTAACGTAAACTAGAAATTTAGTGTACAAATGCAAACTTAGGATCATTGTTAACTCAGGACAACTAGGGTTGTTTTATTTATCAAACAGGAATAGGACCAGTTTGGTAACCAGTGAGCTTTTTCCGCATTGTCAGAATCTTGAATAATGTAAATAAATGTAAAACTAACAACTTCAGTCTGTCATGTTAGATTACATTCTGCAGTTTGTTTGTTTTTTTCAATAAAATTTACAAAAAGTGTGACGTACGGTTTATGATTATTGCATGTTTGATGTCTTGTTTAAATGTTTAGCTGCAAGCAAAAAAAAAAATATATATTTTTAATAAATTAGCGTTCCAACAGATATAAACAGAGCTTCAACCAACATGTAAACACATGTTAACATTTTATTTGCTCATGTAGACAAAAAATAAAAGTCTGTACAAAAACCAAAGCTGAGAAGTGAAATGATTCAGTCAGGATCAGGATGTTTTCTATAAGGTTCTGTGGGAGCGAAGCACTGCAAACACATGAAGATGCTGGTCCAGTTTTTCGGGTCTTGGATGGATGTTCCTATTTTTATCTCCACTCGCACAAAACAATCTGAGGGAACTGCATACATTAATCAGTAATAATAGGAAAAAGTATGACGGTACAAAATGTAACTGATTTTAGAGCATATTGAATGAAGCAGAAGTGATTCATCTTTAGAAATCAGGATAATGTTGACACGGAACCTCTGCAGAGACCGTCAGGGTAGATATGACCTGATACGGGTGAGGTGTCCTGATACCTGTTGTCGATTAAGGTTTTGAATAGCTCTTAAAAGTCACAGGTTTTTTGCATAATTTGCATGCCCTGGGACTTGTATGCCGAAACAACATATTTATGGAATTTTTCCCATATTTATAAACCAATATTTGGCTGAGATATGATTTTCATTCATTCTGACTGAAAATATTGAACACTACCATGTTCAGCCGCTAGATGGAGCGTTTAAACTATTGAATGTGAAGGGGATGTAAAAAGTTAAAGATCTGTAGACAGGCTGCATGTTGCTTACCTTTAATCAATGATGTGAAAAATACCAAATTCCTAAAAAAAACACAAAATCATACTTTAAATAGCTAAAAAGTTAAATCATGCATCTGGACAGTTTTTTTTTTTTTTTTTTTGAAAGAAAACGTTTCATCTAGGGATGCACGATATTATCAACATTATATTGGTATCTGCTGATATTAGTGATAAAGTTAAGCATCGGACATTACATAAAAAAAACAGATATAAAAGGCTTCTGTTTTAAGTTAATTTTTAATTTAAGAAACTGTCTATCTATCTATTAATGCACTACTACTTATGCACTTGTCACTTGTGAACAGGTTCAGTTTAGATTTGTGAAAATTTACACATTTGCACTGTTTGAGTGTTGTCATTGTGTTAGAGAGTAAATGTCATGAATACATTTGACATTAAACATAATCCAAGTTGAAGTGTTACATCATTTTCATTCCCCTTTTTAGTATCTGAATTTGGTAACTGGCCAAACTGACAAAGACCATGCAGAATAATGTATAATTATAATATAATTATATAATAATTATAATATTATAATAATGTGTAATTCCACATCAGAGAAAGCTATGTCGTCTCTGTAAGTAGGTCTAGGGTGGAAAATATCGGTATTGGTATCGGTTCTTGGCCAAATAAGTTTTAACATATTGGATATTGGCCACAAATCCCATATCGTGAATCCCTAGTTTCTTCCTTCATCTGAAGGACTTCATCAGTCTGAGACCTGCCAACAGGATCTTAAGTAGCACCTTGTTGACATGTTTGAAACCATTCTGCTGTTGAGTTTTGTTTCCAGTTTCCATTTTGCATTTGTAAAGCCATTCTCAACTGCAGACTGGTTTGAAACACGTCAACAAGGTGCTAATATGACAGATCCTGTTGGCAGGCCTCAGACTGATGAAGTCCTTCGGATGAAACATTTTCTTTCAAAGAAAGAAACTGTCCAGATGAACTTTTTTGTGATATATTTACCTGGATGATTGAGCCTACTTACTCTTATTTCTTTAAATAGTTACAGCTCAGAAGCTACATGCTAGGTCGAGACACATTGATTCCATGATCAAAAATAGAAGAAGCATCTGTTGGGCAACTGAAAGGAAAAGGTTTACTTTCAGCATCTTATAATTTACTGATGGCCTGTTTAAATGCATTGGACAAACTCAATATTTAAGAAGACAAACAAAAAAGACTGGAATGAAGCTTGTTTAAAGGCACAAAAACAAACAATACAGTTTAAATTACTACAATATAGGTGGATGAGGACGTATATATTATATATATTATATATATTGTTCTAGAATTGTACCGCTCAAGGTGGCTGCACGTTGGAGCAGCTCTTATATTCATTCTAATTTACTGCTTTTGAAAACTTTAATTCCTCTTTTTTCTGGATGTAAATCGCTTTTTTACAATGATTGTTTCCTCTGGTATCGGACGCTGTGCAGCTGGAAGGATTTTTACTGAAACCTTTTTACTTTTGGACATTTGTTATTATGTGTAACCATGGCAACAATGTTTTTTTTTTTTTAACAACAAGGAGCAGCTGATTAACATCTCAAAAGCTCAAATATCTCATCTACAGCCCCAAATCCCAAATGAGTTGAAAAGGAGGCGCCGTGGACAAATTCCCGTCAACCTGGCGGCGGTGCTCGAGTACCTGACCACAGAGATCCTGGAGCTGGTGAGAAACTTGGCTCGTGAGGAGCTCTGCTCACTGCTGGGAGGAGTGACCATCACTGAGGGAGGAATTCTGTCTGGCATTCGGGCAATCCTGCTGTCGAGGAGGACCGAGAGGCCCGCCGGATCTGACAGCAAGCTGGATCTGGGTGGACGGATCGGTATCTGTGGCCAGATTCTTCGGCTTCACTGCAGGAGATCCTTCCTGCCCACAGCTATCAGTATCTATAACAACTCTTGAATGAAACCAGGATGATGAGCTACGACAACACTTAATTTCCCTCTGGGATTAATAAAGTATTTTTGAAGTGAATTGAATTGAACCGAATATAACCCCTGTCAAACTTCATCAGATGTCCAATAATATTCCAGATGCATGAAATAAATATTTAAATGATAAAGGAACATTTCTTTACTGCCTATGGCAATGTAAAAAAAAAATCAGAAATCCTGTAAAGGTGTTATCATGATGACATAAATCAAATGACTGGACGTTGGATTTCTACAAACCAGGAGGATAATTACACTCAGTTGGCTAAAGGAACTTTCAGAGCGTGAAGGTCATGAAAGACTAACCAGTAATATGAATATAGATATGAACATTGTAGAAGCTGGAAAATGAATTATGTGAATATGTAAATTCTGATCTCATAATAATGCATTTTTATAATTGATGCACATTACTGTATGAGAACATGTCTGTTCTGATTATTGGATGAATTTAGATATTTGTTCTCAAGATCCATTTCAAGTTGCATGTGAGGTCATAAACAAAAAAACAATAAAAACATTGGAGATCAACCAAAAACAAAACCAAGACAGGCAATTTTTGTTTGTCTCTCGTTGGTTTTAACTAACAGTTTACCATTCACAACTTCATCTACAAGAAGACGGTAACTGAAGAAATGTGGGCCGATGCAAAGGTAAGGCTCATAAATCCATTACTTTTACTCACTTGTTCCTGTTCAGGATCACGGGGAGCTGGTGCCTTTCTCCACAAGTCTTTGGAAATCCTCACAGATAAAAAAACAAAACAAACAAAAAAAAAAAACTAAAGTGTTAATTTATCTGGTGGATATGAATGTTCCTTCAAAGGTTTGCACAACATGCTGTTCAAAAGAAACAGTACCCTAGTTGCTGGTAGTGCTTTAATCAACAGAGGTGTAAAAACACTCGTGTCTGTGGTATCAACACTGCCTGCCTTTAAATCAGCTTCTTATGCTCAGGCTTGGCTGATGAGTAAAAAAAACAAAAAAAATGGACATAAATAATCAAATCACCCTCTAAATGTAATACAAACCATCAGGCGGTTGTGTATCATCTTTACAAATTTTAATGGAATCTCAACACTTTCACATCCCGTGCTAAAACGATCAGGCCAAAGTGAAACGTCAAAGCATCATCAATCCTGGTGGGTTCAAGAGAAAGTGGTGCTGAAATTATAACCAGCAGTGACTAAAGACGAGCCGTTTTCATGGACACCGATGAGGTTTTACTTTCTTCTTCCTTGCAAAGTGAACACGTTTCAGTTTGTGTTTTTGATATTATTACAGCTGACAATGTGAGACGCACACGACTACTGGCTGTGCAGTTTTCAGTGGAAATAAATAGTATTCAAAGTCTTGACTGTATCTCCTCTGCAACTACTGTAGGTACAAAACTTCTGGATGCTGCTCTGCTCACCTCGGAGAAGTAATAATAGACCTAACTGTAGTAATTGTATAATATACTGCTGTACATCTTTACAGCTAATTGCATTTGATAATGTTCTGCAACTATTTGCTGCTGAAGAAATGACTGGTTGGAGGTAAAGTTTAGACTTTTTGAAATGATCTGGCAAAGACACAAGCTTTTCTCTAACATTAATATCAGGCAAGACTGGTGAGTCTCCGTTCACATAGTCACAGTGAGGAAAGTGTCTTCTGTTCCCATTATAGGTAGGAAACATTTGCAGATTTTATTAAAGACGTGGACCTACAGTATGAGCAGGAGGGGAATTTGTGGACAGAATAATTTGAAGTGACGGAGTGATGCATTAAGGCGGATAGATGTGTAAACAGTCCTGGTACTGAGCCGGTCGTGTCTCTCCTGGTGCGATTGTTCACACACACACAGCAGACCAGAATGAGAGTGATGCCCAGAACACGCTCGCTCTCTCATCTGGTCTGTGTTAGCCTGCCCTGCAGCCATCCTCTTCCTCATCTCCTTTTCTTCAACACCGTCCTGAATGATTGTGAAGAAGAGCTCAGAGACCGAGCTGCTCGCTCAGCGCCTTACACCTGAAAACGTCCCAGGTGTTTGCTGTTCTTACGGGCTGTACGGTGGGGGCTTCTCATCAGGGTGTTCATGAGGAGGGGAGTAGCGCGGGGGGATCATCGTGGGCCATAGATGGCTGGCTCCAGACTGGGAGTCATCCGATAAGCCTGAGGAATCGGGGAACATGTAGGAGCCCTGCAGAAAACAACATTTAAGTTCATTCAAGCACATTCTGTTTTATTTCATTATATTTATTCATGAATTAAGGACATGAAATAAATATACTGTACCAACAAACTTTGCTTGTAACAGCTACAAAATGTTTAAAAAGGATTACAGCCCCTTCGGTGAACCACTCCGTATATTCCAGAGTAAAACAGCCAGCTCAGCCGCTCAAACGTTCAACCTCAAACACTCCCTCGTAAATAAATTATTTTGTGCACCATGGCACACACGTAATAAACTTCTATAGAAATCATTTGCCTTACATTTCAACATTAAACCAGAGCTTGCTTTATGGTACCGAGCGATTCTTTTCCGAAGGTGAATTTTCGCACCTGCAGGTCGTAGGCAGTGTAAGGCGGCAGGCAGGGAGCAGCGTTGTGGTACGAGTTGAGGGAAGTGGTGGGTGGAGGAGGCTCAGAGCGGACCGGAGCAGCTGCAGCCTCTGGTTCAGAGGCAGTCTCTGAGGCAGGGGAAGGTGTCTAAAAACAACAAATACAACTTGGACTTAAATACACATTTACAATTAAAGAGATGTTTGCATGCAGTTGTGCGAATCACTGTTATAATCACTAAATGATAACAGTATGTATTTATGTAAACGTTGAGCATAATGCCTTTCTTAGATAAAAAAATTCTCAACTTGTTTTTGTTGTACTGAAAATGTTGATTCCCTCAAAAGCAGGGGAAGTTAGACCTTTTATTAAATTGTACTCATTTGCTTTGATGCCATTTTTCATTATACAACACTTGATAAGACATTTAACCTTTTCAGAGTTGAACTGAAAAAAAGATCTTTCACAAGTGTAGCACGATGTCCAACAAGTAGACGTCTGAGTCTTTAAAGAAGCAGTGAAGTTGGCCATCATCTCTAGTATGAAATGTTTCATAAGAACAGGACTGGCCCCAAAGCAGGACCCTGAAGGATCCCAGATGACAAAATCTGACATGATCCAGTGTTTATAAAAACTCATTCACTCCGCTCCCCCGAAAAAAAAAGTTAGACATGAATCACAATAAAGAAGTACAGTAGTCTCTCGCTACTTTGCGGTTCGTTTTTCACGGAGTCGCTCTATCGCGGTTTTTCAAAGTCAGATTGGACATGACACACAATTGGCTGATTGATGGATGAGCCGCATGATCGGCATGGAATTGTTATCTAAAATAAATTATTTGAAATTATTTAGCACCTGCTGCACCTGTGTGCAGCCCACAGCTGCAGGAGAAGCTTCCACCTACACCGTGTCATATCTCCGCTCTGCAGCGGAGAAGAGGGCGTGGCCGAGAGCGCTGGCAGGTGGCAGAGTGCGGTCAGAGGCAGAGAGCTGAGATCATGACATGCTGTGCTCTTTTAGTGCGTTTAGAGTTTATAAACATTGTTTAGAATATTGCAAAAGTGTGGGAATTAAAACACCTTATGTAGATATACACTAAAATAAACTACTACTTACTACTTGTATTACTATTCCTACTTCGTGTTTTTTTTACTTATTGCAGGACTTCAGGGTACGGATCTCCCACAATAAACGAGGAACTACTATACTTAAAAATCTATTTATGCATATTAAAAATACAAAATTAAAGTTCTAACTTTGACCCTTTTGTCTCGGTAATGTTCCTTGGCAAAGAATACATTCAGTAAGTAACATGAACAGGACGTACCATGTCCTTGAAGCCTCCCAGGACAGCAGCAGTAATGATGCCCAGAAAGAGGGCCACGATGTTGAGGATGGTAGCAGACCACAACAGGTGGTAGAGGTGCACCACATCCTGGCAGCTCTTCACATCTGTGTATTCATGGTAGCCTCCCATCACCTCGGCTCTGCTTGGCCAGTGGGTGGGACAAAGAGGAAAACAGCTTACAATCAAGCCACTAAAGTCACTGAGCGTGATGAGTAGTTTTTAACAGTGTGCATTCTTCAACCCTCAGATGACTTCTGTTGTGACTTGGCGCTATATAAATAAACTGAATTGAATTGAATCAGCCAACTGAGAAGGAAACGGTTTACAACAGGTTGTGATTTATGGTGTTAATAGACTAAAGGCCATTGGAAAGAGTAGGGAAAAGGAGAAGAGGACATGAATGGGTCATTATTCAGTCGGCAGCAAACAAAACATGAACAAATGGCACCCTACAACCCATTTCTTCAATGGCTCTGATTAAAATGAGGATTTAAAAGTAATAAATAAAACTGCATCTACATAAAAAAGGAACTAACTCATCAAAAAAAGGCCATTATCAGTCAAAAAGGAGGGACTTACTTCCAAATCATGGATGATTTCCTAAACTTTTTCAACACATCTTTATTCTGAAGTCCCATAAGTGGATGTTCTCTGAAACAAATGTCAGAAAGAAAAGAAACAGTCTTGTTCGGATACAATACAAGCAGCAATGCAAATAAATCTGCACAGAAAATCTCAACAACATCTCAACAATCTCAGTAAACCATGTGGCCACAGATTGAGAGGAGCGTCAGGTGTTTGCGTGGTGCACTCACCTCCCGCAGTTATAGAGTTCGCAGCAGTAACAGGTGTTGTTCTTCACACGCAGGTTGCAGGATGAATGGCACATCACCTGAAGGTCACAGATTATCAGTTCTTTTTGCTGTCCGTGCACACTTTGCTCCTAGTCTCATTTGTATACGAGCCATACAGGGACAATAAAGAAGATTATATTATACTATTCATCATGAATTTAAATGCTTCACTGACAGGAAACTTTAATGGAAGGAATCAAACTTTTTTTCTCAGCTTCTGAAACAATAAAAGAAACAGTTAAATAATTAAAAAAAGAATAGCTAACTATTTCTGCTCATATAAAATCATAAACGGTCAACTTTTGCCATCATCTAAAGCTAATGAGTTTATCGTCTCTGGGTTTAGCTCGTTAATCAGCTGATTTTGAGTACTCATAGCATGAACCAAACCTTCGCACTGACTCGGAAGCTTTGCCATGGCCGAAACTGCTGCCGAAATCTTCTTCAAAAGTTGATAAAACAGAGCCCCACTGATGCCAAAGAGCAGAACCCCTGTTATCATAAATCCAAATATATAAATGTCTTCAGCGTCCTCCTGAGACAGAACTGAAAGACACATCAGCTCCCCACGAATCTCTGACGTACCCCGCAGCGTGAGTCTCAGCCGGACAAGAGGGTTCTCCTGGACCCTGTCATTTTGTTGAAAAGATGTTGTTGATTGTGTTGAAAGTCCAGCTCACCAGATCCATAATCACATTTTGCATTCGGGAGATGTGTACCTTTAACCTTTAGAGCCACTAAAATGTTCAAAATATAATACAAAACTAATCACTGCTGATACGGACTGACGAAAACATCCATCCACCTGCTACTGCTTAAGGCAGAGTCCTGTTGAAGGATTTCAGTCTTCAATGACACTCTCCAGTTCCTCCTGAGGGATTCCAGGTCAAAGAAGATAAAATCTCTCTAGCAAGTTCTAGGTCTACCTCGGGGTCTTCTAGTGAGATGTGCCTTGAATAAAATCCAACGCAAGGTGCCCAGGAGGTGTATGAACCAGATGTTCAACCCCCACTCAGGTGACTCTTTAGTGCAAAGGAGCAGCTCCACCCTGTCTCTAAAGCTAAGCCTGGACCCCTGACAGAGGAAGTTCATTTCAGCTGCTTGTATCTGGAATACCAAATAAAACATCCATCCATCCATTATCGTTTTCCCGCTTCCTCCTTTTCGGGTCACGGGAGTCACTGGTGCCCATATCCAGCGATCACTGTTTTACTTTACTGCACTGTTAAGACTGGCTAAACAATATTTTATTTTTATTGTTTTGTGATAAGTTATACTAAAATGTCTGCAAGAAAATCTATTATTATCCAAACGAGGCTTTAAATTTTGTATTAGTTATTCTGAGCATAAAGAGGAAAGAAAAATGTGTCTGTTAGCAAATATCTCATTAAGCATTGGACATATTTTAATTTAATTATCAAAAAATAACCATTGTACGTAAATCTACAACCGATTAGTGTTTGGAGACAATTCAATTCAAGATGGCTGCCACGGTTAATCCCCTTGAGTAGACAATAAAACAACTATAATTACTGATACTGAACTGAAATGTATTGTGCTAACAGCAGAGTCTTCCCAGACACATTCTGTAAGATTTTGCAATATTGTGTGATGTTATTTTCAAGAATTGGCCAAAAAAAGCTAATTTTTAACACAGAAATGTATGTTCTCTGTTTAAAACTTTGGCACAAAAGGTAGCGGGTGATATGCATTCCTTCAAAGAATACAGAACTTTCAATTTTAATAAAAAATATGTTGTTATTTAAACTCAGCGTGTGATTCTTGCTCCTTTGTTGTCAACTCCTTTAATGTAATTCAAGAATGTATGGATGTTTTCTGTGATTGTTGCTCACATTCTTGCAATAGTCAAAGACAAACAGGACGTCTCTCAATGCTTTGAAAATCTTTACACAGCAGCTGAAGATATATTCTAGGGATGCACGATATTGGATTTTTGGCCGATATGTTAAAACTTATTTGGCCAATAACCAATACCAATACTGATTTTTTTCCCCTAGACCTACTTACAGAGACTACACAGCTTTCTCTGCTGTGAAATTAAAATACTACAATATTCTGCATGGTCTTTGTCAATTTGACCTGATACCAAATGCAGATGCCAAAAAGGGGACTGAAAATGATGTAACACTTCAACTTGGATTATGTTTAATGTCAAATTTATTCATGACATTTACTCTCTCTAACACAATGACAACACTCGAACAGTGCAAATTTGTAAATTTTCACAAATCTAAACTCAGCTGTGCACGCGATATCATAACGTGTTGGCGCTGCAGGCATCCTTGTCACTGGTTGTCACATAAAAACAGCGCCTTTTATATTGGTGAGTTATTTTGATGGAATGGCCAATGTCCGAAATTTAAAATTATCGCTAATATCAGCCGATACTGATACCATGCCGATAATATCGTGCATCCCTAATAAATTAAGCACCTAAGTGTATGCAGGGTGAAATATACTAAAGTTTTCTTACAACATGTTCAGACGTAGTCTCATTGGAGTGATATTCACAACGACCAGCATACAGAGGCCTGAGGTCCTGCAGGAGAATAAAGAACATGAATATAAACTTCTCTCTACACAGAGTTAAATTAGTAAATTCAGATACCAGAAGATAAAAATCACAGCAAAAATTACAGCTACAGTATAAACTTTAAAAGAAAACAAAATCTGTCAGAATCCAAGTTCATTATTTCTACACATCTGGGACTGATGTAATTTAATAAACAGCATATTGTTGAATAAAATGGCTCTGTAAGATCCATTTGAATGATTAGACTGATCAGCCCACAAATAAAATGCTTTGTTCTTCTAGATGCGACCCTGATATGCTCAAATTTAAAGTTCAATCAAAACTAGAAACTAAGAGGACAAACTCGGTTATTTATATCACCACTCATGATTAGTTTATTCCCTGGCTGCTGGGAAAATATATATTTAGTTCCCATGTTTACTCTTGTTTTGGTCAAAGAGCATTAAAAAATGAGGCCATGAAAAGGACACAGCTGAAGTTCTTTTTTTTTTTTTTTTTTTAATGGAAATCCTACAAGTGGAGAAGGAAGTTTAAATAGCTGAAACATATTTTTTTTGTTCAACTTTATCTAAAAGATACAACTAAAATAAATTGTTTACTTTAAATGTGTCCATTAACTAATTCTAACCCTGTTCTGAGGTTAAACTACCCACCTTTAGTACTAGTTTAGACATTTAGGTGTTAACTAGTACTGCTACATATGACTTTAATTTGATATTAGAAATATGCATATTAATCCAACTCCCAAATATGTCCAATAATGCAACAGCTAAACTTGGTTCTAATGACTCTAAAATTAGATTAATTAACCGAATTGTTCTTTTAAATAAAAGTTCCAGTTTTCTTTATTGCTTCAAGTCCGATACTTTACTTTTGTCAAGTGCAACTATTTCCGATGTAATTTATCAGTGTCATCCAAAGCCAGTTTAAAGGCAGTAAAAATATATGGACGTGTTTGGTGTGATTTGAGTTCCTTAAAGCTACATTTTATTCAAATAAAGACACGATTGTGCTCTTGATTGTGTTTAGATTAATAAGTAAAGTTATTAATATAATCTGTTTAGGGTGTGGTGAAAAAAGTCAAATGTATTTTTTTTTGCATGATGCTTTTGCCCCTGATTTCCCATTATCACCATCATCACCAACAAATCGTTTCTGTTCAGTTTAATGAGCAATTACTGTCTAAAAAGAAAATCCCCACTTTCCATTTTATTGACATCATTAGCAAATAGAAATCTGCTAATGATCATCTTTCTTTTCACTCGACCATAAGCTTTTATTCTCCAAATAGTTTTCACTGTGCATTAGTGATTATATGTTTGCAGCATGGACAACAATTTCCTGTTGCTGCTAAATTTATTTGTCCCACTGCGAAAGGCCTCAGTGGGCTCAGCATGACGTGTGCTGCAAATTGCTTGTTTACGCAGTCAAAGCTACTCAGGGAGCTTTTTGTTGTTATGATGGGTAAAATTAGCTAATTAGAGATACTCACAATGTGCCTCGCTGCAAAAACTCCATCAACGATTGCGCAGCAGAAGGCAGCCACCACTCCGAAACTGATAAAGACAATAGATGCTACCAACTATGGACAAAATATAGAAAAGTGTCAGTTTTTACGGTTGATCACTCTAAAAACACACGTATAATTGTGTAATAATGAAGGAGTGAGGAGCTGTGGGTCTTGGCAGAAACTGTTTACTTTAGTTGTCTAAACTGTCACCAAGGTTCTCACATTGCTGCAATCGCTGCAACGCTAAATGCATCCCTGCTCGCTCATGCAACTTTTCTTTTTTTTTTTTAACTCTTCTGTGAAAGACAACAAGTATTCAGTTACACCCGACCCTGTCTGCAGACAAGCAACTCAAGTGACACCACAAAGCCAAGAGCTCATGGGTAACATGGATGGCTACAGTCGGCACAGCAAAGATCTATGATGATCTGTTTTCGGTAACAGAGATGATTGTTCTTACATACCACAAACCTTTTATTAAATAAAATGAGCATAAAATAGCAGTAAATTAACACTTACAGCCACAACTCAGGCAAGAGGGACACGAAATAAAAGCTGGGCGTTTTTTTTTTTTTTTTGCCTTTTTAAATCTCAGAATTTGAAAGAAAAAATGTTTTTCTTAGTTTTCTGACAGTAATCTGTTGGAAATATTTTGATCCATTTTTGATTTTTGTAAATGTTCAGGAAAATGTGTCCTGTATCATCCAAATACTGACCTTTCATAAAGCTGTAGGCTTACAATAACTGTGTAAGTAAACTGTGTCCACACAATAATTTTTTTTAACTTCTCCGGGTTCTGCAAAGTGCTTTACAGTTTAATTTGCCCGTTCACACTCATACGGTGCTTACCGTTGTGTATTTTTACACACAATTAACAGCACTTTTATATTCTCACTCACAGATAAGCTTAACAGTGGGTGGCGGGGTACAGGGTCTTGCCCGAGAAAGTTCATGCATCTCAAAGCATAAGCTTCTGGTTTGTAAATGAACTTTAATTGAAGTCGAACTGATTAATCAGAGCAAAAACATTTTCTTTGGTTTGTATTCTTGGCGAAACTGAATTAAAGGTCCAAGAAATTGAAATGTGGTCCTTAAAACCGTTATTCTCTACATTTGTTAAACAGAGGTTGTTAACTAATCAAAGTTTCTGCTGTACGTCTGAATAGTTGGTTTTTTGTTTGCCTAATGTTTTTTTAATTTATGTTTATGTTTTCTTCTTTGTTCTTTACCTTTACTCATTCAATCTGCCAGAGATGAAAACGAACCTGTCTGCTCCAATCTGGTACATTTACTTGATGCATTAATGTCCTTGCATTAATGAAAAGGTGTTGTTCTTTTTAAATTATACACATACAAAAACGAGCACTTACGATCATAAATACTTTGCAAACTTGTTCAATTTTTGTCATTTTTCAAACGACATTTATCTCCTAACCAAGGTCAAGCTTGATGAAGTTATTTACTAGTCAAATAAAATAAAAAAACGTGATTTACGTACATGTTCACTTCTACTCTCTTTACTGAGTTACGTATCATAGTAAGTATCATTATATTGTTAAACTATTAGCACATGACTCGGTTCTAGGTTGTTATTTGTGCCTGTTCCTAAAGAGAACACAGTAAATAATCAAAGTGCAAATCCAGTCATCCCAGTTTATGTAATATGTAATAACATTTTACTACTCTGTAATGTAATGCAACACAGCTCAGTCTGCGGTGTCTCAAATGCTGACTGAGCTGCGTTACGGGGAAATGGCGTCGCGACAAACTCATTCTTCAGCCGTGACAGACCCAACCCTGAACCCCCCCACCTGCTCTGCTCATCTGCAGCTTCCTTCCCCCCTCGTTTTAGCGCAGACATCTGTCCTCCTACTCTTACACCCCGCTTCTATTTCTGGCTGCACCAACCCCAACAACCCATGAAGTCCATGGTCCTTGTTCCGATGCACAACATGAATCTCTTCAGGTCGGCAGGAAATAGCTTCTGCTGGGCGTGTTACAACCAAGCTGTCCAAAAAGAACTGAGGCTAATGTGTTGTTTAATACCAGGATCTCAAAACAACAATCCTGGAGAGTGATATAAAATAATTTAAACTTTCTTACCATTTGCCTCTTGTTCTCTATCAAATGAGCACCAATGAATCCCAGAAAGGAACCAAAGCCCAGCTGGAAAGAAAAAAACAATACTTGAAGAGTGGCAGAGTGACTTTGTGGCTCATGAAAGAAGGTACAGTGCTAAAAGTAGAATAGTGTGAGGAAAGTTATGGATTTAGACACTCAACCTCTAATGACAAGGATGCTGAATAATGAATGTGTGGAGAGAGAAAAAAAACACGCTTCAGGGACTTTAATAATGAGGCTTATAAGAGTCTAGATTAGAAGAGCAACTAGAAACACTTTTACGTCTCAGCAGATCGGTTTCCTGTCACTTTGTATGAACTGTGACAGTAAACAGGTCTGCTGCAGCTGCTTACAGCGTATAATTACGTATAATACTCACAATAGCTCCTGGGTAATAGCCTCCAACTGTGATGTTCTGCGTCCTGGTGGTCGCCGCCAGGCCGAAGATGAGAATGAGCACAGATACAATGAGCAGCATCACCGTCACAATTATAGATTTCCTCTTTCTCCTCTTAAATGAACCTAGGACGTTCAACAGAGAAAAAGAGACTCAGCGTCGGTGAGATTAAATCACTGATTTAATTAAAAGAGCCTGCAAACGAAGAATCCATAAGCACTGTTGTTGTGGGAAGTCCTTAAAGAGATTTGAGGCTAAACTGCCATTGATCTGGCTCGGTCACTTTGACCATTAATGGTTAATTCTGTTGAAACGTCTCAGAAGAAGTTATAAAAATTGTCTGCTGCCAAGATGCTGCAAATGTATTCGGTGATGTTATGAGTATTTTTCACGGAAAGTCATTATGAGACTTGAGTTCTGTCAACAGAATTATGCAGAGAAAAAAACAACAGCCGTTAGCTTGACATCAATACTAAAAACTAGGGCTTAATTTGAGCTGGATCCTGCCGGAATAGGATCCAGGAACGCTCTTATTTTGACAGGGTGCATTCCGGCAACTGTTTGCTTGGATTCGGTAACTCTCAGACTTACTAAAAAAGTTATGAACAAATTTGACTGCCTTGAATTAATAAAACCTATATTGGACATGTAATCTGAAAGTAATTACATAATCACTGATTTTAAACATAACAGCCACTTACAAGCTTCCTAATATTACATAAGAGCTGCCCTTTCACGTAAGCATTTTCGCTACTACCCTTCTACCCGCCCCTAAAAGTACAGTCATGGGCAATTTGATTAAAACACAAAAATATAATTAAACAGCACAACTAAATTGCAAATCAGTTTTACATTTTAAGTGGGTCATTAACAAAATTTGGATTAAAAATACGAGAGAAATGTTTGATGGGTGATACGTACGTCACATATCAAAACAACAGCGCCAATTTGTCAAAATAACAGCGATCAAAGTGTCGAAGACAGTCCAATTTACTTTCATTTTTAAAACCTATTCTAGTTGTATAACGAAACATCCAAGAACTGAAGCACATGAAAGCAGTGGCAATGGAGATAACGACATTGGTGGTGGTGGTGTGTGTGTGTGTGTGTGTGTGTGTGTGTGTGTGTGTGTGGGGGGGGGGGGGGGTCAGGCTGCTTGAGAGAAGCAGAGCATTCTCTATTCACACAAGGAGAGCTGTTGGTCAGGCTACTTCTTGTTCCTCTCTAAGATAGTTATTGGATCGAGTGTTTACTTATGTAGGTAAACATAGATATTTACCAACCAGAATGCAGAAAATGACATCTACTTTATTCATAAATTTTCTGGGGGAGGACCCCCAGACGCCCCCCCCCCCCTCCCCAAACCCCACTATTTGCGTTCCAGCATCGTTTGGTTTACAAATTAAGCAGTGACTAAAATCAAACATTTTCATCAAATTCACACAATCTGACAATAACCAACGTGATACAGCTACTATCTGAATCTGAGCGTAGATTTTCCAGGAAAAACAAAACAAAAAAGTTTGAGAAATGACAACAAAAAAAAACGACGATAACATTCAAGATGATAGGATTAGAATTTGACAACCAAATAACTTACAATTGACCTGAACCTCCTACATCCCACGTGACTATTAAGTCAAGTTCATTTACCTTAAACTTAACTTTGATTAAATCAAATCTCATTCAACTTTAAATCACAAGTGAGGAGTAAAACAAAATGTCCTGTAATCTTAGCTGACCTCTTTATCTCATGTTGTTCTTTCAGCAGTAGCTCCATCTGTGTCCTCTCATTGTAGAGAGCAGATTAAATCTCCATCAATCTGGTTTATTCTTATTATATTGTTTTTATTTAGTCCATCTGATCTAATAGATAAACCCTTTTGTATGTCATAAATATGTGCAGGCCACAGACCGACTGCTGCTAAATATTAAAACATTGATCTGGAGATGAATAAGAAAACATGCTTTCCTTCTGTAAACATAGAGATTCTGTGTTACCATGGTGACAAATGAAGGGCTCAGCTGGTGAGACTGGTGATTAAGAAGACTACTGGAAACAACACAACCTGCAGTCTGCTGCTATACTGGATGTTTTCTTTGATGCTCATGTAAATAAAAAATAAAAATAAACACAAGTTTGTTTTCTTACAACAATCAGTAGTGACTAAAGAATTTGTATTTTTTGCAGATAAATTAGTGTAAATGCCGAGTGATGATTTTACAGAAAATCTGTACTGTTAAAAGAAACAAAAGAGGGAACTAGTACTTAAAGCTAAAATGAGAAAAACTGTAACTAAAAAGATAAATGTAGCAAACATGTAGCTAAAAGCTCAAATTTGCCAAAGTTTAGCTAATAACAAACTACCACAACTGTTGTTAGAAGCTAAAATTAACAAAACCTTAGCTAAGATAAAACAATAACTGTATTTAAAGCTTAAACTTGCATAATAACAGTACCCAAAAGTTAAATGTAGCTTAACTACACATTTAAATTTGCAAAATGGTAGCTAAAATCATCAAGAAAATAAAATAAAAAAATAGCTGAAAGGTAGCTAAGATTTCAATGTTGCAAAGCAGTCGATAAAAACGAATATAGCAAGACTAAAAGAAGCATTAGAAGACGAACGGTAAATGTGCTGCAGTCAAAATAAGAGAACTACTTTAAGAGAACTGAAGTTTCGTTGCATTTCTATGGGGATTTATTTAATAAATATTGCTGAATACTAAACAAAATGAAAGTCAGAGAATTCTATTTCCAATCCGCCTGAATGTTTTGTTATATGAACAGCTAAATTAGAATGAACTGTGCGGTGGTCTGACAGCAAAAATCATACAAGAAACTGAAAACATACTCAAAGAACAGCTTGCTCTTATTTAAGAAGCACTGATCATCTTAGCTTAAACATATGAAGCATAGCAATAAATGTGTAGCTTTTAAGCTCCATTTATGCAGAGCATGCCTTAGAATGATCATCAAGTCATAAAGCTCACTGTTCTCACCTAAATACACCTTACTGGTAAATCTGATTTTATCTGTGTGCATATTTCATACAAAGCCTGTTGGAGTCTGTTTCATCCCATACAAGCCTGCATCACCTCACTGATTTCACGTCATTCATTCATTATTTATACAGGTTAGTCTCATTGAACCTCGAGGACTCATTTACAAGAGAGACCTGTTTTTAACAAAGAATGATGATAGCAATGATAACATTAAACATTCATAAAAGAAAGTATACAAATTGAAAAAACAAGAAAATATGACATATAAAAAAACGAAACAAAAACAGTTAATGTAAAATACTAAACAACAGGAGCATGTTACTCTCCAAGCATTGTGGTGAGCAGCACCAGAGGTCCTTGGAGCCAAACATCCAGGCTGCTGTGGATGCTCTGCGCCTCCGCAGCTGCAGTGACGCGCTGCGGCCTGGACCAGAACAAAATACCCGTCCGGTGCTGCAACGAGTGTTTAGTCCGATTGTGGAATGAGATGACAATTGTATCATCCTAACTCTTATGGATCGTTATTACTAATATTAGGTGTAAACAGTTAAGAGACGTTAAGTGCATAACTGTATTGTTTAATTTATATATACTGTA